AGTGACTGTTTCGGTAGTGACAGTAGAACTCAAAAAGTACATGACTAGCAAACACAGCTTTGACTGATTGTACACACATAAAATCATCATATTTTTCATTAAAACAAAACAAAAAAAAAGTTTACTAGCTGCAATTCTTAATGTTCCACAATGATTTTCAGGCTTTGGGACACATTTACTTCAAAATCAAACTGCTCACTATGTGGTCATTGGGGACAGGGATGCAGGGGTGTGGCTAAAAACTCTTTAGGTTTCAGTCCTGACATAAAAATGTGGGGCAGCATTTTTGGAATACAGTTTTTATTTAAAAAAATTAAACTCATGATAAATCTACACCTAAACTTCACGTTTAAAGGAATCCAAAAGATCTTTGCGACAAACTTTTTAGAGTATTATTTTCACAAGTGTAGATTTGGAGGTTAGGGGTTTGGGACAGACACCTCCCTAGAGAAAGTGCCCTAAAAATTATTTTGTATATATTTTGCTTATTATTGTCTCTATTAATGCTCTCACTCTCATACCGCTTTGTTAGTCTTGTTTTAGAATGTGAGCTTTTCATTTTGCTGAAGATGTTGTTAGTTTGCTGTTTGTGTGTTATGGAGATTTGAGGAGATCTAGATTCTTATCTTGTTCAGCTTGCAAGCCAATGCAGGAAAGCGTCACATCATGATATGTAATCTATTTGGGAAGGACAGTAGAGCAGAATCAGACTGACACATTGCTTAAAATACATCCGATATTAATAACATTGGCAGAAAGTAAAAAGTTACAAGTGGCCTCCATTTTTACTGCTGCAGGTGCGATTTATCGGTTATGGAGTGCTAGTTTACTACTGCACATACAGGAGAACATGAGTGTAACTGAAAGTACACAGGAGATTACAGAAGTGTAAAGTTTGTTGTCTCAAAAGTAAGGATACACCCATTTAAAATGAAAACAGTTCGGCAGATGGTGACCAAATTTTAGAAATCAGGAAATGTTCTGTGTTGGTGACACGGCCGAACAGGTTTCCCTCACGATTGTGTCTAAACTTGGACCACTTTCTGCTAAACCATTTTCATTTTATATGGCTGTTTCTTGCTGAGACACCCTGTATTTACCTGGTATGCGATATCAGCCGTGAACCTGTGACATCACTGACGTCACCACCTTCCCACGATCTCCATTTGAGGTGCTATGCAGAGTCATCATTGCTGTCATGCTTGTGTAGTGAAATTCACTGTGTTTGGTTGTGAAATGTAGTACAGACCCGGTCAGACCACACCTTTCTTCCGCCCGTATCTACTTTTAGCTCATATCTGCCTTTACATCTGAAATCTGAACTGCTGGAGTGTTGAGCTAAAACAGAACCTGTGAATAAAATTCTTTGGATAGGATTTTGACCAGAAAAGGCAAATGAGCTGGTAAAAACAAAAACATGTGACTGGAAATAGACACGAGGCAATGCACACTAAGGCTGTTCTCACACAGAGTGTGTTTGCTACAGTCCACAGAATTGTGACATAGTATTGTTTTCATTTGGTTTGGTTGGTTTAACACTGCAATGCTTGTCAAAGTGGGTAGCGCTGTCGCCTCACAGCAAGAAGGGCCTGGATTCGATTCCCTGGCCGGGGAATGTCTGCGTGGGTTTCCTCCCACAGCCCAAAGACATGCAGTCAGACCAAGTGTAGATGCTAATTTGCCCCTAGATGTGAGTGTGTATAGTGAATGTATGTATACCTGACCCGTGATGGACCGGCGACCTGTCCATGGTGTTTCCTGCCTTCCGCCCAGAGACCGCTGGGATAGGCTCCAGAAGGATAGGTGGCTTAGAAGATGGATGGACTAACCTATCACAATACAAAATCCAGATCCACCTCTGAAATATTTGTAAAATGTATATTCTACCATTTTTATTTTTATGAAAACAGAAGAGCTTAAAGAAATAATTTGGCAAAAAATCAAATGCCAGCCAAGACGAGTTTGCTGTCCAAATTTGGCTTTTTTAGTTTACAACTGGAGCTGCTAGGCTATCGGTGCTAACAAACAATGGAAGTTAATAGCCACCAAAACCATTTCCACAAATACATGCCGAAATCTTCATATATTTGCCTCAAATTGACATATTTCTTCATGCGTATATTCAAAGATATATGACTGAGGCTCAAAATGTGGTCCTCAAATTTGTAATCGGACAGTTTACTAACTTTCTGTGTGCACTGGCTGAGCTTCTCTACCTGTGTTACCCTGTGGTGCATCTGTGTTATGAACTCTTTGTTCAGTGGAATGAAACCAAAATTGTCCTCAGGAAAGAAGTGATTCCAGGCTGCCCATTTAGGATGACCACAAGTTTTTTTTATTTTTATTTTTATGCCTCACAGAGTGAAAGAAAGGGTTGAGAGATGTTTTGGCCATGTATTTATAGAATTGGTTTTGTGTAACTATTGACTGTTTGTTAGCAACATTAGCCTCCTAGCTCCAGTTCTAAATTAAAGACTGCATTTGGGATAAGTGGAAAATCAGGTAAGTTTGATTTTTGGTTGGACTTTAATGCCTAGATATTTCACAGAGCAATAAAAATAAACCTGAAAGTGAAAAAAATAGAAGAAAAATGTAGGACTTTGGCTCTTTGTTGCGAGGGAGGCAGGATGCAGGTGCAAGTTTGGTTTATTACAGTCTGAGCTGACAGAGTTGGTAAACTGGTGGAGCAGAGATATCTGTGAAGAAAAAAGAGAACAAAAAGAAAACCAAAAAACGAGAGCAACCACAAACCCAGAACCAACAGAGAAAGACTGACAAAATCATGGACACAGGATGTTCAAAGAAGAACACAAAGAGAGAAAACAACGAGCACACATACGCAGACATGGACGAAAGAGCAGCTTGGAGTAATGATTACAGGGCAGGGTTACAGAGGTCACGGGCATTACAAGTTCATGGGGGGTTAGAGGAAACCAAGCCCCCAGATTTAATTCTCTCAACCCTTCAATCTTTCGACCCTTAACTTATGTCAAATAATTTACGGAAAATTACTGTTATTTTCATAGCATTGCCGTTACTGTACTGTAGGCTTATACCAACATTCTTTTAGTCCAGATTGAGGTCCATTAGTTACAGAGTCATATATGTATATGGGGCAATGGTATGTGTTCACAGTGTGTGGATGGAGCCACACATGTTGGAGTGGGGGTCATTAAGACGGCCCAGCATACCCACCTGTACCAGTACACTGGTTACAACTCTGTGTGGCAGTAAATCTCGCAAGTGGGTGATACAGCTGTAGTTCAGCCCATACGGGCTCCTTTGTTTTGTGTGTTGGTCCATGTGCCGTTCTTTCCATCAATACAGGTCATGCGTTTTATTTTAACTGTTTAAACTCCAACTGTGGGTTGTTCTAGACTTCCATTCCTCACTCTCATAGCTACAAAACTGGCACGTCACTGTTGTCTGACAAAAACATCGTATCTCCAAAATGGTAACTTTACAGGAGAAGGAAAAAACCTACTTTACTTTTAATGTAAGTCAATGGAACCAGAATTCTTCCCAAGTCATTTTGGGCCGTTTCTTTTGGTCCATTCATCATGAACTTTACACACAGTGTAAAGGCCAACAGGCATTTTCAAACTATGTTAAAAACTGAAAAACGACAAAAATGGCGATACGAGGTTTTGGTCCGACAGCAGCGATTTGTTTTTCGTATCAATTTCCGACTGTAGTGGCGAACAATAATCTTGCAGATTAACAACTGAGTAATAGGTTTTCAGGTTAAGAGTTTAACTGTACAGGAAAACTTTTAATTCCAGGTGAAAGATCAGACACAGTGGAGTCAGAAAGCCCTCCCCCACAAACGTGAACAGAAAATTACTGTGACTCAGCAACTCCTCAAATAGATTAAAGACTGGTGATGTCATAGGTTCACGGATGCAACCGCATCCCAGGTGAATATACAGATGATCCAAAACATAATGACCGCTCGCAGATGAAGCTAAAAATGTTAAAAAATCTTAGAAGTTGGTTTTGCATTTTCTGCTTCTCATGATCCAAATAATCCCAAACACATTCAGTGATGTTGAGGTCTGGACTCTGGGGTGGTCAGTCCACTGTTCAGCTTCTTTGTTTGATGTGTCTCCTTTTCTCAGTAAGAGCTTCTTAACAGCTACACATCCTTTCAGACTCATAGTGCTGAGTGTCTCACAGTGGAAGGATGGACAGAAACTCCTGTGGATGTTTTCAGATCTGAATCCAGAGTGGATCTTCATTTTCTCCTCTCTCTCAGAGATGAAAGCTTTAAGTACAGTAGTTAAGTACAGTATCTGTATTTTCGAAGCATTTTACTTACTACTGTTACTTAGTTTATTTGAATATTCTTGTCAAACATTGCACTTTGGTGTGTTTGGGTCATACATCAATGTAATAGTGAGGAATGACTCAACACATGAGGAATGACTTTTTCACATGATGCTCAACCCCTGTTAACATGGTTATAGGAGTGTTTAATAACACTTCGGGCCTGCCGGTGGGCCCATGGCTTGGTAAGGGGTTAGTAATGCTTTTGTAAAGTGTTTTAACAAGATTCTACAGGAAGCTATTATATCGCCGTCGTCAGGACCAAACCTCGTATCTCCCAAAGTGATAACTTTACAGGAGAAGGAAAAAACCTGCTTTACTTTTAATGTAAGTCAATGGAACCAGAATTTTTCCCGAGTCATTTTGGGTCGTTTCTTTTGGTCCATTCATCATGAAATTCACACATAATATAAAGGGTGACAGGCATTTTCGAATTATGCCAAAAACTGTTTTGTTCCGACAGCAGCGATATAAATATTGCACATTTTCACTTGGAACTTTTCCGAATATGGCGGTTTCTTTAAGAAACATGAAACAGCTATGAAATTGTTCCAATGAAAACATCAGATACTAAAATAGTAACATTGGTATCCAAATATAATGTTGCAATGTTGCAATGTTTTAGCCTGTTGAAAAGTCTCCTGTCACTTGTGACTCTGCTCTTTTGTCCCTCCCCCTTCTCTCACACTCTCTCGCCCTCTGTAAGATAAATCATATCTCGCTTTCACAGGCGTGAGGTAATATCCTTTGTGGCATCTAAGCTGAGCAAGATAAAACTTCAGATCTCTTCAGATATCCACAAAACGCAGGTATGTACCCCGTATATGTGTGTATGCGAGTACATGTTTGGTGTCTATGTACAAAAGATATGAAAGAAATGAGGGCATCGTCGATTCTTCTGGTGAGTAAATGTAAAACAAGTCCAGTAAAGCAATGAATTAACTTTATAGGGAGGCCGAATGTATTTATAAGTAATTTAGCAAACTATTAATGCATATAATTAGAATGAGTACAGCAGTAGTCATGTATTATTACATGTTGGATGTTGTTCATTACAGGTTAAAATGATTAATAAAAGGTTATTGATACACTGCACATGCTGTATGTTATATATGCAGCTCATTTTTTTAGCTAAAAGAGTTTGTTAGTAGGCTCACAATAAAACATACAAGTAGAACAAATATAGACTGCGGAGAACTGAATAGGTGGAATACTCAGAACAGGCTTTCTGACAAGCAAACATTCTTGTGTGCTTATCTGAGTGCAGAGCATTCAGTCATTTAACACCGAGAACTAAATGCAGCCAGACTTGCTGGTTGGGACGTTACAGGTACAGCTGTTTATGCTTAATTGAGACTTTTCAACTGCATAAAATAAATGGTGGAGATGTAAACAGAGTCATTCAGAGTGGTTTTGGTGTGAAATGCTCTGTTCTAGAGAAACTTCTGAATTGTTCACAGTGGTGGTGATAGGAACCAGACGTCTGAAGAGTTTAAGTCCTCTAAAAGCTGAGAAAGTTAGAACATGGTTTGGTTATGAATACACTGCCTGATGTCTGAGATATTCAGAAAAGTAAAAAAGTCTTGTTTTTCAGATGTACTTCTTTTTTTACCATCATCAACATTACATATAAAAACTTACGTGTGGGTTCACTGGTGGTTTTGGATAGTAAATAAAGTGGCTGTATTTGTGTGGTAGACATCATGACATCTGGTGCTTATCAGCACCACTGTAAAGAAGTCAGTAAGTTTCTCTACAGTGAACTATTTCATCTCAAAGACTGAATGTTGAAAAGTGGAATTCCCCATTAAATGCAGCCTTATGGTCAGAACTGACAGAATGAGAAAGAGAAATAGAGAAAACAGATGGTGCTTTGACTTAAAGTGATAGTTTGGGCAGAAATCAAATCTACATAAGTTTCCTTTCAACCCAAATGTAGCTGATCAGTCTAGACATGTTTGAAAAGAAGTTTGACGCTGTATGATGTACTGTTACCTTAAAAAATGGACAAAAGTACAGACAAAATAGACTTTAAGGTGCCGTGTACTACTGTGTGTAGCTATGTGACGGTCCATTTCTCTCGATAGCTGTACGTGCCAGACACTTATTACAGGAACAGTTCAGTGATAAATCAGTTTTATATGATTTTCCTCTCACCCCAAATGCAGTCGATCAGCCAAAACATGTTGGGTGTCCAACTTTTTGCTTCTTTAGTTTAGAACTGGAGCAATTAGGCTAATGTTGCTAACAAACACTGGAAGTGAATAGTCTCCCAAACTGTCCCAAAGCTTCTCTGAACCCACTCAAACCTCAGGTCTTAACTAAGGTCGCGCAGACATGTCGATGTGGTTTAGAGGACAGTATGACTTACTATGAACTATAAAAACAAAAATACTTCTCAGTTCAGCGGCCATTTGGGATAACCGGAATCACTTCTTTACTGAGCATGATTTGGTAACATTCCATGTAAGACAAGCAAAGACGGGTCTACGGGAATTCTCAATACCTTTAGTACCTATAAAATAGGTAGAGAAGCTGAGCGAGTGCACTATTGAAAATCAATACAATGTCTGCTTATGAATTTGAGCACCACCTTTTTTGCACAAATGAGCTTCAGTGACCCAAAGCTGCCATAAAGCTGAAGTTAGCTTCTTTTACAAATGTCCTATTCCAACTTAAATGGAGCTGGAGTATAGCTGCTGCACCACTGCTGACGTCCCAGACTAGATTTCTTTGTTCTATAGGTTTATCTTTATTCTTACAGTAAGCAAGCCTTAGTTATTGCTGTGCTAATGCTATGTTTCTACGTTGTGACATTTGACAACACACCCCTGAGATCCAGCCTCCCAGAGATTGAGGGAGGAATAATATGGGAAAGCAGGATGCTGTGCAGATGATAATGTTGTTCCGATTTGAGCTAAAATGAGTAAATAAGATCTACACATGTAGTTTCTCCAAATTCTGTTTGTGTAGCTTATTTGAAAAAAAAACATATGAAGATTGTTAAATGCATTTATGGGAACGGTTTCGGTGACTATTGGCTTTCATAGTTGGTTAGCATTGTTAGCCTAGCAGCTCCAGTTCTAAACTAAAGAAGAAACATTTGGGCACAAAACACGTACAGGCTGAGGTACCCGACTTTCGAAATGGTGATTCTCCATTGAAAGGAAAATGTAGTCCAGGACTAGGCTTAATCTCTGTCCAGCAAACCACAGAAACCACATAAGCAGGACTATATAGGATTACTTAACCACTTAAGCAAGGTTTAGGGCCAGTGTGATGATTTAGGCGATGTAGTTTTCTTTCAGTGTGCTCATTGCTAGCCTCCGTTACATTGCTACATTAGTGCAAAACTAAAGAACCTCATTTTACCTCATTCTGTCTTGCAGTTTTTCATCTGTAATCATGGAAAGGAAAGACCTTCCTCCGCCATACCCTGGCCCTGTTCTGAGTTACAGTGAATTCCACGCAGTGGAACAGACACAGATGGCTGCGTTTCCTCCACAGCCAGGTCAGCACGACTAACAACGTCTTATAATGTCCACTAACTGCTCTGATCCCTTTAGACTTGTACAGTAGTCCTGCCAATTCTTCACATCTGTAGAGTTTTAAGACTAAAGAAATGCACTTCATGTTTACCTAGTTTTATTCAGCTGTAATAAATTTGTTGATTAATATGTGTCAATTGTTCACTCTGAAATAAAAGTATTACAGGCTGCTCCGATGTTCATCGATCCTGTGGTTCAGCAGCCAGTAAGCATAGTCCAGCAGGCACCTCCAACTACAATAATCCAGCCTGCACCTCAACCAACTGTAACAGTAATCCAGCAGGCACCTCCACCTGCAATAATCCAGCCTGCAGTTCAACCAGCTGTGGCTGTAGTAAGTCCTGTGGGTGAGTGTCCAACGATTTGTCAGTGTTTTGTCCCTCAGGTCTAGAAGAAGAGATCACAGCCTAGTAATATGGACAGATTAGGGTTGATCAGCTTGTACAGAGCTCAGATTCTGCCAAGACAAACCATCAGCACTTCTAATCTATTATAACACACATTGCTGTATGGCAGTTTGGTGCAATATCAAATTTTCACAATTTCCACCCCTACCTGTGTGTAGTTGATCAGCCAGTACATCTTTGATGTTCAAATAGAGTGATGTAGCTAAGAAGTAATTAATGCTAACAGTAAACAGTAAATTGAATGCCTAAATTGTCACACACTGTCGCATTACAGTAATGAAGGACTATTAGTCAGATCTGAACTGATCAGCTTATAAAATATTAAAATTTAGGTGCAGGGGTTCTCAGGGACAAGGAGCGTCATTTACAAACATTGTGTGTATACAGTATATGGCCATAAGTTACATATGAGCTTTACTGTTGGCACTATGAATTCCGGTAGGTAGCGTTTTCCTGGCATCCACCAAACCTAGATCCATCCATGAGACTGCCAGATAGCAAACCGTGATTACTCATTCTAGAGAACATCTCAACTGCTCCAGAGTCCATTGGTGCTGCGCTTTACACCACTCCAGCCGACGCTTTGCATTGCGCATAGTGATCTTAGGCCTGTGTGCAGCTGCTCGATCATGGAAACCCATTTCATGAAGCACAGTTTTAGTGTTGATGTTGCTTCCAGAGGCAGTTTGGAACTCTGTGGTAAATGATGTGTGATTTTTATGCACTACATGTCTCAGCACTCTGTGACTTTGTGTGATCTATCACTTCGGGCTGACCTGTTACTGCCCCTAGATGCTTCCATTTCACAATAATACCACTTACAGTTGACTGGGGCAGATCTAGCAGGAGAGAAATTTCACAGGAAATGTGTCATCCTATGACAGTTCCACAATGAAAGTCACTCAGCTCTTCAGTACAACCCATTTTACTGCCAGTGTCTGTCTATGGAGATTGCATGGCTATGTGCTTGATTTTACTGTTAGCAGAGGGTGTCTCTGAAACACCTGAATTCAATAATTAGGAGGGGTGTCCATGTAATTTTGGCCGTATAGCGTATATGGAGTGAGTGGGAATTGATGACACCCATGGTGAGGACAAGAAACAACAACTTAATGTGGAAATGACCATCTTTACATCATTTCAAATGCTTTTATTTTAATGTCTTACTTTTGATACATGGAAGGAGACAGTTCGCATTTACTGCAGAAAACAACGCATCAACATTTTTCTTTAACTCAGGCTGACATTTTGAATTTGTGATTGGCTTTGGAACTGGGCATCCTCTACTCCGTCAGGGTATCAGGTCTTGCATTTACCAATCAGACAGATCTTTTGAGCTTCAGATTTGAAGTACATTCACATGCTAGCTCACTGAAAGCTTGGCCGAGGCAACGGCAGATAATGGAACAGTTGCTAAACAGCGATTGGAGGACAAAATGAAGCAGATGTTTAGGAAAGACGTGGGGTGTCAGGATTATTATCAGCCATAATACAATGACAAGCCTCAAATAAGTTATTTATTCCACTGTGCTGCTGGAAAAGTAAGTCAAAACGGCTGTTGATTTTTGTCATTGCACTTGGGGGCCCCCTAGTGGCTTTGGCCCTGGACATGTACTCATAAAACCCATGGGATGATCCAGGCATGCCATGCTTTATGCAAATATATCATACAGCCCCCTTCCCACCCCACCGCACCCCTGCCAGTCTTTTTACATCAGCTAATCAGCGAATCAGAATCAGAATACAAGCAGTTGGTACTTTTTCAAAAGTCCCTTGCACCTTCAGGATAGACCATCAGAAGGGGGGATTCCTCATCTTCTAGTCTTTTTCACTTCTTGAGACTACGGTGGCACCACCTTAGGAGGCGAGTCGGCATGTTCAGAACAGATACAGTGATGGTTACATTTTTCATTTTGCCTGAAGTGCCCCTTTAAATGCAGTTTTAGTTGGTAAATGTGTGTGTGTGTGTGTGTGTGTGTGTGGTTGCAGTGATTCAGCCTCGCCTGAGAGAAATACCTGGACAGCTGAAATGCACTTACTGCCAACGTGACATTGTCACAGTGACCCGATTCATCAACGGAGCACTCGTCTGGACCATTTTTGGAGGCCTTTGTATTACTGGGTGAGAACACGCGCATTCTTATCTGCATGCATACACACACACACACACACACACACACAGACACACTGAGCTTTACGGTTCCTCTGCTCTCTTTCTGCAGCATTTGGCCGTTCTGTCTGATTCCCTTCTGTGTGAATGCCTGTAAAGACGTGGAACACAGCTGCCCCCACTGCCACAACATCATCTCCATTTACCGACGCATGTGAAACTTTCCAGCTGTAATATGGGCTTCAGTCGGGTTTCAGGGATGGCCGCTGTTTGTCTCTGAGAGATAGATCTATACAAATTAGCTTTCACTGCTTCAGCAGCTTATATGTATTTAATCTCATTTGAAATGTTTAAAGAGGCCATATTTTACACTTTTCTTGCATTTTATTTTTTCACAGATGTCCACAAATTACATTTATACAGGTTTATTTGTGGGCTTGAGTCATATTTGCAATTTTCCAACCTTTCGCTATCCAGGCTGTTTTTGTTACTGTGCCTTTAAGACTGATATATGTAAATGAGCTCTGTTCTGATTGACAAAAAGCAGCCCAGCCTGAAACACTCCTTATAACTTCAGTGTGAATGGGTAAGGCTACATATATAACCATGTATATATGTAAATGGACATGTGTGGATTTATGTAAAGAATTAATTTTTTTGATATTGCAAAAATATTCAATATGAGCTGTTTCGGCTTTTGTTTTTGTTTTTAAAAAATACAAGGAAATGATATTGTTGTATGATATGGTCCCTTTAATGGAATGGTTGCCTGAAATTTTCTTCATTTTGTTTCTTAAAGACTTGAAACAAAGTGATTGTACATTGTTAATAACTTTTAAAACCTGTATAACAACTGTCAGCAGAGCGAACAAGTTCCTCAGCGTTCCAGAGCTCTTTAGTCATTTGGACTTTACCGAAATGAGAAAGTAAAATTTCTTCCACTTGTCAGATTTGCGTCTTAGAGTATGTTTGCGGCAAAGTGCAATACTGCTCCCCGTAACCTTAACTTAAAAATAAATGCTCCTGTAAATAGCAGCATGTTGTAAAAAGAATGAGATTTGAGTTTATTTTACTGATCTGCAGAGGTGGTGCCAGACTCAGTTTACCAGGGCACATGTTCAAAAGAAAGGGGGCACTGACTTTTGCAGGGAATAGGCGTAATAGTGGTTCTGGTACGGGGAGAAGGAGTGATGGTAGCACTGGTACAGGGGAAAGGATTGATGGTGGTACTGGTACGGGGGAAGGATTGATGGTGGTACTGGTACAGGGGGAAGGATTGATCTAGTACTGGTACAGGGGAAGGTTTGATGGTGGTACTGGTACGGGGGGAAGGACTGATGGTAGTACTGGTACAGGGGAGGGATTGATGGCAGTACTGGAACGGGGGAAGGATTGATGGTAATACTGTAATTGGGGGAAGGATTGATGGTAGTACTGGGTACTGGTACGGGGAAGGATTGATGGTTATACTGTACTGGGGGAAGGATTGATGGTAGTACTTGTGTGGGGGAGGGATTGATGGAGAAATTGGTACAGGTAGAGAAGAGAGTGAAGGAGTGATGGAAATACTGGTACAGGGAGTAGGGGTTATGGAAGTACTGGTACCGGGAGAGGGAGTGATGAGAAAAGAGTGGGGAACTAAACAGGAGTGCTTGTAGGGGTAACATCTACATGTAAAATATATTTTCAGTAAACCTATTTTGTGTTTAGCAGGTTGTTTACCAATATGTATAAGTGTGCCCCTATGATGGAGGGTGTGCCCTAGTACAACCCACAGTCTAGAAATGCCTCTGCTTACCTATTTTGCACATATACTCTGTGTAAAAACATTTCTGTACATACATGTTTATGAGATTTCATTTTAAAAGCTTCTCTATACTTTGTCTTTTGTTCAGGGAAACTCTCAGATTAAAAATGAATAAAAAAGCCTTTGAAGCACCTCTATTGGTCATGTTTTTCTGGCCAATGTATATGATATAGTTTTCTGTAGTCATGTAAACAGTTGTACTATTGTAACTACTACTACAGTTGTACTAGTTGTAACAAGAAAGCCTCCAAAAAAGCCAGACAGTACTTAAACCCAGACTACATCTCAACGACTTCTGACGTCTGAGCCATCTCAAATGAAAACAAGGCAGCTATAGACACAATACATTGCAAAGATGACACGTGGTGCCATTACCATGAAGAAGCAACCAAGATTGACAGCGGCGTGATTAATGGCATCTAGAGAAACTCACTAGAGCTGTACGGCACCAGACAGAGATAGCCGTCAGCGCTCTTCTGCTACCAAACATCTGTATGAGGGCCTCACAAGGGCCATAAAGAAGACCCAATAAGCATTCTTGAGTAGTCGTCCATTATAACCACCCTGCTCTCTAGGAGCAAAGACACAAACACCCCCAAGAACTACTACCCGATCACCTGCCTGCTCACTCTCTCCAAGATGCACAACAAGATCTACAACCACTTAATCAAGAATAGGATCCTCTCAGACAAAAAGAAGAGTGTCTAGTGGATGCAAAAGCACCTGCTCGTAAGATGTTGGTAGCAATACCTGAGCAGTCTTGATACAAAGTGGATTTGACAGCTTGGCCCATACCTGGATTGTCACAGTCATGTCACAGTGCACTGAGAACAACCACACACATAACAAGGTGGCCAGCTACGCCCATTGGGCCATATGTAAGCACCTGAGTGTAGAAGTATCTGAAAGGAACTATGAGCACGTCCAATGGCAAGGGCACGACCATCATACTCATAGTGACTGACCGGACAATATTAGTGAACCGTCCTGGCGTAGTGCTGCAAGAAAGAAAGGACATACCTGATGACTGACATAGCCATTCCAGATCAGCAGGAAGTGAAATGCCAAGATGAAACTAGTGCCAGTCATAGCATTAGGAACACAGAAGGAATTTGACAACCCCCAGGTCATCCATCAACAAGAGGCAAGCAGTAGATCACACTTGGGTACTAAACACACCCTAAAACTTTGCTGGGGGAATTCTTCTGGGCTGGGTTTACCGAAAGCATCACGGCACAAAGATGATTCTTACTTGGTAGAACGAGCATCATACTGAACACTCTCTCTACTGGTTAGCATTATGTCAACACTAAGATGCTTTTTGGAAACTGGACCTTCGTCTCTTGTGGATATCTGGATTCACCAGTTAGGAGGAGACTTTAACTGAAGTCTCTCCTGCTGCTCAGATGTTTCTCCTGAGAACAAGACCTCAATAAACTCACATATGTCTCCTCTGTCTGCAACTGAACTCTCATCTCTCCTTTATCTCTGCTGTGTCTCATACCTCCTTTTTGTCTGTCCTTGTTATACTGGTCCCACAGCACCTCCTAGTGCTCCAGAGAGCAAGAGCAAGCCAGCATATTGTCCCATAGTGCCACCTAGTGCTGTTATTGTATATGGACCATTCTATCAAGTTAGGTCAAACTGTGGTCTCACAGTAATAAATAAATAAATAAAATAAAATAAAAACAATGAAGTATTCAGACCTTAAATATTTACAAAGAATATGTCATGATCTATTTAAACTCAAGGCAACAGAGATAGTAATAAGCTAAATATATATAAAATCATCATTTATAGAGTACTTTTTGTTGTGAGGTTTACATGTGAAAATAAGACTTAAATATTTTTTGTTGAATGAATTTCTTTAAACGCTGAAAGATTTAGATTTGAGCTTAATTTCTAAATACTAAAAATAGCAATTGTCCCACGTTTTAATGTCACTGCTGAAACAGAGTTTTAGTACATAGTCGGAGCCTTATTTTAGCCACACCCCTGCAATCTAGAACAGGAAGTGATACTACATCCTGTCCCTCATAGCCACATAGTCAGCACTTAGATCCCATTGTTTTGAAGCACGTTTTGATGTGTTCCGAAGTCTGAAAATCACTGTGTAACATTAAGAATTGTCACTACTGAAACATATTTTCTGCAATTATGTGAACTTTTTGTGTTTCAGTTAAAAATATTTTATTTTATGTATGTACAACTGTTGAAAGCTGTGTTTTGTAGTCAGGTACAGGCTAGTGTTATTGAATTTTGATTGAAATTTACTAAAATTGTCGCTACTGAAACATTTGGTACAGTTTTGCTAGTCTTATGATTGTTTTGATAGTGATAAAACTGATTGTTCAATCAGTTGATTTAAGAAAAATGATTTATATGTTTAATAAACATAATTAAAGTGTAGAGTCACTCAAAACTAAAGGACAAAAGTCACACTCTCCGTTCTGGATTTTGTCCTTGGCCCTGTGCTTGTTCAATGTTTGTACAGTCCCTGGTCCAGTCCCTTGTCCAGTCCTATTGTGTGGACTGCCTTTTTAATATGGCGGGGTTTATGCGCACAAGGCTGCTGATTGGGTAACACCTCTGACACACAAGTCAAACAAGAGGACGCATACCTCAAACTAGAGGTCTGCTCTTCTGCGGATTCCTGCTGGACCTGCAGGACCCATGACATTATCTCGCAGCACGGGACAAATGCGGGACAAATGTTTAGTGTTGTGCGTGGGAGCGAGTGGGAACCAGCCCACTGCAGGTGGGAGCAGGATGAAGCATGCATGAAGAGAAATCCCGCAAGTTAACGAATAACGAATAAAGTAGAACGATCACTAAATCATCTACATAAACAACAAAAAATGATGACAGTAAAACAGCTAAGATGAATGAAGTCATTATAAAGAGTTGCCAAGCAACCAATCATGTGAACAACATGCAAATTCTCGTAGCTTACAGAGATGACAGAACCTTTAGTCTGACGGCCACAGCTGCTGAGTGCCTGTTATTTCAGCAGAGGACAATGTATTTGTAAAAAGACTATGTCTGATATTGGAAGTCAGTTTGCCTTGATGGAACTGCCCGGGTAGGAGCAGGACAAAACATTTTGTTTGCGGGCAGGGGCAGGACAAATAATTTTGATTTTCTGCGGGAGCGGGTGGGAGCAGGATTGAAAAAACAGTTCCATGTAGACTTCTACCTCAAAGCCTGTTGCACACCATTTCACACCGTTTTGACAAATTATGTTGTTCAACCCAGAAACCATAGCGAAACTTTGAGACTGAACGTGCCTCAGCTCTCATGCAGTGTGTCAAAGAAAACTATTTGATTGAGTCTCGTGGACTGCGGAAGCTTTTGTGGTCATTTGTGGACTGTTAGTGGTCAAGTGCGTGTGAAAAAGTTTGAGAACCTATGATGCAGAGAAAAGACTTTTATTTTGTTTAGTCTTTAGTAGTAGGCTTGTCTATAAGTAGCCCCTTTTGTTTCATTATGCCTTTGTCTGCTCAGTGTTTTACTTGGTCTTACTCAGTCTTGCAGTCTTCTCCGTTTTCCAGTGTTATCTTCTGTTTGTTTGTTTTTTTATTATTATTATTCTCAGTGTTTTGTTTTCTTTATATCAGTGTTTGGTTTCTTTTAAATAAATCTGCTCACACACACATCCTGCCTTAATGCTGCTCACTTCATGGTATTTTCATTTTACTCAAAACACTTCTGTCTGGCTTCAGTCTGCATGTGTTACAGTAAAAGGTCATGTAGAAAAGCTGTATATCAAACATATATCAAAGTACTTCATGCAGCGGCAATCAAGTCACATATCTGCTTTTATTGAAGTCACAGACATATTTTTATTCATATATAAACACATAAATACTTTTGTTATCCCTTCTGTTATGTTCAGCTGTAAGGAACAGCAGTAATGTTCCCGCGTCAAACTGACTCAATGTGTGTTTAACCATCTGAAAGTAGTTAAACATTTAAATTTCAATTGCTCAATTAATGTCAAATTTAATTCATATTTAATTTTTCCACTTCCTTTTTTTCTTTAAAAATCATTTTCAAACTTTCTTTCTGTACATTGGCAAAAACTACATAATTAAAAAAAGATGGCTCTTTCAAAGGTTCTTTAGTAAAGAAAATGGTTCATATAGAACCGTGAACACTCAAAGAACGCTTTGCATGATTAAAGGGTTCTTTGCGTCATGAAAGGGTTCTTTAAACACTTTTGAAAATGGTTCTATATAGCACTAAAGAAGGTTCGATGGTTACAAGCTTAACATTGTAACAGTAGCAGAACCCTTTTTGATGCTATATAGAACACTTTAATCAAGCAAAGCGTTCTTTGATTGTTCATTGTTCCAAATAGAACCATTTCCATTACTAAAGAACCCTTGAAGAACCATCTTTTTAAGAGCGTAGGCATTCAACACATTTGTTCTGTTTATTCTTATTTAGACTTTGAAAGGGTTTCATCTTCCAAACATTATTAAGCTTATTTTCCTGTATTTTTAAACTTTGAAATGGGTCAGTTTGATGCAGAACATAACAGGAGGGTTAAAATATAGCAAAATAACAGCTCAGATGAACTAAAGGATCATTTTTCCATCAACCCAAATCTCACAAACATTTCAGCTCATCAAGTGCTGTTCCACACTTACACGCTTCTCTTTGAGAGTCTACTGTCAGTCAAAGTAACATGATCAAACTCTTTCATTAATTTGTGCGCTAATAACTTTATAACTGATTGAGATCACGCTAATAAATTGGGTGCCACAAAAATAAGAAATCAATTTTGGGGAAACAAACTGCTTTTTAAGTTTGGTATCACTGCAGGATTGAAAAACATTCATTTCAGCACATCTAAACATGTTCTATCTTCTATACATTACAAAAAGTAGAAAAGTGAAACTGTGTTCTAGTAATTGCTCTACTGGTTTAATAGTTTATTAATAGACACCCAAAGTTATCAAGACCTCAAAATTTAATTAAAACCTTTCCTAGAGATTAGTTTTTATAGAGAATACACATTTCCTCACTGATTATTTTGAAACTCAATATATCTTATCAAACACCATATTTGTAGACATCGTCATATCAGACAGGAGTTCTCCAGGTCCTCTGGGTTCTCCGGGTCCTCTGGGTTCTCCAGGTTCTCTGGGTTCTCCAGGTTCTCTTGGAGGATGAAATCAGTAATAACGCTGATACACTGAAAAGAAAGATCAGAGAAATAGTTAAGTAAGCTCTCTGTGAGTGTGCAAGTGCTTGTCTTAGATATCTTTACATTTTCATACCCAACCCAGGCAAATTCGTGTCTGATTTCAAAGGGATGAATAACTAAAGAAACACAAAAACACAGACCCTGAACCTTGCAAATTCAAATATGAGTCTTTATTATAGTTTCCTATTATATTTTTTAATTTAAGACAATCTTCATTTTCACTATAATTGACACTTTTATCATAATGTAGTTATGTTATTTGTAGTTTGGGGGGAGGAGCATGGTTGAAACCCCTCTTCTTCCAATCTAACGCCCTATAAATTCGCATCCTCACCTTCCGTTCCTGTGGCAAAATGTTTGCAATCGCCACTGAGACCCACCTCTTTCCTGTTCCTCAGTCCTACAATAGTCCCACCACAGCTAGGGGGTCTGGCCTTCTAGTTACAGGCAGAAGCTGCCCTGAACTCCAGCCTAAGTTCTTAGAGTTCCCCCATCCCTCAACCAGTTTTCCCTTATACTACCACCACCATGTTGAAGACATGGTCTGACCTCACAAACAAGATATTTGTATTGCAATGCTATCATAAGGAATATACATGTTTCCAGCCCACTCCTAAAGTCCTGAAACACTCACCCACTCCATTTGCTGGCTGTTGGTAGACTGTGACCCCTGGCTGAGCCACAGCCTGGATCACTCTTGGCATAACCTGGGGCTGGACTACATGAACAGCGGGTTGAACTGCGGACTGCATCACAACGGCTGGTTGAGCAGCTTGTTGGTACACAACAGGAGAAGCCCCACCCTGAATTACCACTGCTGGCTTTGGAGCCTGGATTAATGCTGGTGAGCCTGAAGATTGGATTATTGTAGGCTGGGCCGGTTGATGGACTATGACCCTGGGTTGAGCCACCCCTTGAGTGTATGCATACATGATGCGGATGTATCTGTGGAAGCATTGAAAAGCATTTTGCAGTAACTGAATGCATTTTTAAGGGCTAAGTGAAGTCTGTTGATGTGTAAAGGAACAAGTAGGACTAATGTAATTGAAAGCATTTGCATGTTTGTCCAGGGCTGATACACTTTCTGTTACAACAGTCTAAATTACCACAGCTACCTCTGGGAGGAACACGAAGATGCCAGTCATTACTGAGTATTGTGCCGTCCAACAAAATAAACTCCCAGCTCCCTTGTCCTCACACTGTACACCTAAAATGGTGTTTAGATTTCTGTATAAGAAATCAATATCCTGTATCACTTGTTCTTGTTTATATGGCAAGACGCAGCTGCATTTTTATCAGATGTTGTCGTGTGCGCTGTGCAGACCTGCTGTTACTTTCTTTAGAGGGTTGTATGATCAGACGTCCAGAGGTGGGCCTGGGAACAGTGGGAGTTCTTTATACTATAATTCAGAAAGGAGGAGGACGAAGCCAGTCTTATTACACACTAAGGCTTATTTTTCAGTAACTATGGGGATTTCAGTGTAAAGGGGTTGAGTTATTCTTAGGTTCTAGATGTGTGTAACACAAATGTGGGCCCACCGGCAAGCACTAGCCATTTAAGGGGTTAACCAATGGCAGTTTTTTTCTAGGGATGCATTGATATCATTTTTAATGACTACATTTCTTAGTACTTATCAATAGAGATATTTACTTAGAATTAAGCTAGTGTTCGTGTAGATGAGTGCAATGTTCAACAATTTAAGTCATTCAAATCCAGCTGATTTTAACCCTCTGGGGTCCATGAACGCACCTGTCGTCACATTTGGTGTTTCTATATTTGTTTCTGTATCTTTGTGATTATACAGTGCAGAAATACGGTTCAAACATATCCTGAATCTATAGAGTCACCCTTTTAATTCCATTTTTCACGAGATCATACATGACTCACATCTGGAGTTATGAGGCTGTAAAGAGGGGCTGAGATACACCTCATCTCCCTTTAACCATGTGTAATTGGTGGATTCGTGTGTCCATCTACGTTTTGTGTGAAAATGACCAGCAGACACTCTAAAATCACTAAGGACTGACCCATCACATCGGAAACCCTTCGTTCTTCATTCAGTTGACATCGGAGACGCATGTGAAATGGCGTACAAAGAGTTTACAGCAGCTTAAGTTGCTGCAGCGTTTTTCGAAAAGTAATAAATAATGGAGCATTTTGATATGAAACATATGGGCATTATGGTATGTGCAACCCAGAAGGTTAAATGACATGCTTGCATTGCAGTGAAGAAAAGGAACTTCTGTACACCAGTAAGAAAAGTAAGTTTCATAGTTTTGATCGCGGCTCCTAATCTGTCTCTTTCAACAAATAATGCATCCAAGGAACTTCTGGAGATTTACATCTTGTTGGAATCTTTTTGGCTGGTTGAGCTGTAGTTGAGTGTCCTCTAAAGCCAGACATACACTGTGTGATTTTTGAAATCTTGTTCTTTTGTGACTTGCATTGTACATTTGAATAGACCATCATGTATGGAAAAAGCCTAAGATTTATATGACCACTGCATAAAAACGCTATGTCTGATTGACAAGCTACATGTAATGCAACTCTACATACAGCTCTGTCTACAGACAGAGAAACAGTGCTCACCAGAGTATTGAGCAAACATGCTGAAAAACTGAGCTACAGCAGCTTTGCTGTCTTGTGCCACACTGTGCACTGAAACTGTACATGGCAGGACTATACAGTCTCTCTTCAGCCATTTTCCTAAAGACAGTTTTCAAAAATCATAGAATTAACATTTTACCTCACAATTCTATGCAGTCAAATCGAATGAAGTCAGCATTTCGCTGTTGTTGGAACAAAACATCGTATCTCCAAAATGGTAACTTTACAGGAGAAGAAAAAAACATAATTTACTTTTAATGTAAGTCAGTAGAACCAGATGTTTTTCCAAGTAATTTTGGCCCATTCCTTTTGGTCCATTCATTGTAAAATTTACACACAAAAGTATTTTCAAATTCTATCAAACAAAATTAAAAAAGGTGGTTGTGACTGTGTTTTTGTGTGTTTAAAATCACACAGTGTATTCCTGGCGGTAATCTGTCATGGTAGAATGTTTGAAGTGACCGGTGACTTTGTGTCTGACCTCTATGGAGTCAGAAAACACTCTCATTCTCTGCCAGTTTGAGTCAATTGTTCATTAGCGTGGCTGCGTACACTAGGCTTTCATTGCCTGGCATCAGCTGGAATCGGGTGCTGGTATTGGTGCATTTTTATGAGGAGTATGAGTAAATGATCATGGCATCAGCCCAACACCCAATACTAGTATCGATATTGATGTATCCCTAATTTTTGCCCAATTAGGCAAGGCAACAAATCCTTCTGCTATTGGAAATATTTCTTGAAAAAAGGGAACATAAATGCATCTTGTAAGATTGTAATGTTCATGTACAAAAAATTTCACTATTCTACAAGGTGTGTTCTTTAATACATTTTAAATATGTACATATATCCCTTTATTTATGTATGGCTGTATTGTTTGCATTGTTTATTGATCAGGAAATGAATAAACAATATATTCAAAGAATATGTGAGTGATACAGCATAATGTACTGAGATATTAAAAGAAAGATACAACATTTTTTTCTCAGAAAATTAAGAACAAAAGTAATTGTTGCGCTCCATAAAAAGTAGATTGATGCATAAAGCAAAAAAATCTGAATTAAATAGAGTAGAAAGAGTATTGCCTGCACACTGTTATAAAAGTCGGACAAGACTACCAAAAATATCTTTTATTCCATTAAATATAGTACACAAACCGAGCAAACGCTTTTTAGGATCATTTCAGTTGAGCAATTTTGAGGCCAAGAAACAAAACGAACAGAATTGTCCATCATGGACTGAATAACTCGGTTAATAAAGCAATAAGAAATCAAAGGCTGTGCATTACAGTGATTTTATCATGAGTAAGGGTGTTTGTTAGGCACGATACACAGCAGAGTAAAATACCCTTCACCCATAATATAATCACTGTCACTCATGACCTACATTGAGAAGTCGTTTAACCTGTTGCTCATCTTTTAGTTTATCTGGCTGATCAGCATAGTTGTAGTTCAGGAAATGAGTTGGTCCATATGAGCAACGTTACAATCAAAGATTATTTGTTTAAGAGCGCTAGGATTTTTGTTGACTTGGCACAGTAATACAGCATTGAACTGTTGACAATGACTTTGAACTTAACTCAGTCAGTTGGATTTCATAACTAGGATTTAGACTAGCTAAACATTTTTCAGTGTCTGATGTTTAAAAAAACAGACAAACAGAACAGTACTGTGGTGTGACAAAACAGTCTATAAGCTCTTGACAATCCATGGCTGTTTACTTATAACGGAATAAGTACACTTTAAAAGCACTTACAGAAGGAAGTGGCTGTCATACAATTTCAAGTTCAGTAAACATTGCATAGCAAGTTAACAGAACAATAATTTAAAGTGGAATAAAATCTAAATTTGAAGACACGTTACTCGATTTTTTAACTTAAAACTAATAGTTACAATGTGATTAATAACTGAATTATTGTAAGCACTTCATTACAATAAGCTTCCAATGGGATAAATAACTCCTCTTTCATTCTTTATTTGTATCTTTTTTGTCAAGATACTATAGTTACTGAATATAAGAAAGTGTAAATAGCCCCTCACACCTAAAAACACTGAAAACAATGACATACCTGAGTTTTATGTGTCGAGTTCTTTGTGTGGCGATTTCGATGCTTCCCTTCTCAGAGCTGCGAGGAGACTGTGCGTGAACAGAGGAAAGGTCGACTGTGTGCTAGATAAACAGATTAAAGCAGAAGCAGAATGGGCTCCAGCAGCATTCCAGAACAGGTTTCTCTCTCTGCTTTTACACAGGGAAGAGAATGCCAGGAAAACACTGACACATTAACCCTTATGCACAAGGTTTTAAGGCAGCACAATGTTGTGGCTGACCTAGGTGGGTCAAAACCTCCCACACTGTACAGCACTGGGGTATTGGAGGCCCAGAGGTGGGACGTGGTAAAGCAAAGCACTTCATGTCTCTAAGAACTGAAGGGGAGAGATGAGAACAATGAGACGGACACTCTGTGGACAATCTTTAACCAGTTAACCAGTTAACCAGTTAAAACGTACATATTAGTTTCATCTGTTTGGAAATGAGGACACTTTCACTTTTCTCTCTCTATCTATTGTCTTGCTTTGTCACGAGACAATGTTCAGATGAGCCAGTTTGATGTCGTTTTGTTTCTCGGAATTCTGTGGAATGACACAGGTGTGTCTAAAGCTGTACAGGCCACCAAACAATCCCTCAGATACAGCACGTCTGGAAAAAATGTAAACGTGTGTGCATTTAACAAAACAACTGTTTACGCATGGCTTAAATTGCGGTGGAACAAACCTGATCCGGATCCAGCTTGTCCTCGACTGGATCAGGGCACCTTGTTATATACCGTGACATTGTGGGTTTTCCCCTCCAGGGTTTTGACAGGGTGATATTTTTTCACATTTTTCAAACATTTCTCTATGTAGGTCATATGAAGTGAGTAAACAGTCATATGAAGTGAGTGTCAGACACTCATAAGGTAATTTGTACTCTAAAATTTTCTGTGGGTTACAATTCGGAAAACATTGAATGTGTTTACATGCACTCAGTAACCCGATAACCGCAGAAAATCAGATTTTGTCAGTAATCCAATTAACGTTTTTTAACGTGCACTTGGGTAATCAGACAATGTGAAAACTCCTGGTCTACATGAGTCAGGCAGTAATCGGATTTCTGCTTCGCAACCAGCCAATAAACTCGCAGAAGAAGACGTGACGTAAACATAATGTAAAATTCGAACTTCATGCCGCAGCTTTTTTTTTTAAAACATTGAGTTACGTTACCTGAAAATATGAACACACATCATCTAGAAGATGAAGAATATTTAAATCCTTCATTTCGTCAAGCATGTATTTGGTTTCAGTGTCGCTCCAAAAGTGTTTTGCTGCGTCTCGCGACGACGCTGCTCGCTTATTTCCGGTACAGCCGTCTGTTTTGCACATGCGCAGACTGAGAAATCCGAAAGAAATCAGAGTAAGAGTTCACATGCACTGAGAAATCTGATTACTGAGCTAAAATCCAGCCTCTTTATCAGATTTCTTATTCGGATTTCTAGGCCTTACACTGATATTAAGAAATCGGAGTGTGCTGTTTACATGACCATTTGAATAATCAGAGAACTGCATTATTGAGTGCATGTAAACACACTCATTTATCATAGTGCTTGTTTTTCAGAGCACATTGAACAAGCGCTTCATATTTCCCTCTTAATAACCTTATATCAGTTATTCCATATTTAATGCTCTTTTGCACTGACGCAGCTTCACTTCAATAGCAGCTCAAATGTGCGAGCAACAAAAAAGTCTTAAAATCCCGGCTGTATCTGAAACTGAAGTCTCGATGATTAGCTTCCTTTGATGTCTCATAGGTCAGTGTCTTAGAAGGCCGCATCGTGATGAAGGTATCTGCAAACGTTTGAGACGCGCCTTAACAGCTGTGATACATCACAACGTTGCCAAGATATGGCAGCTCACTGCTTGCCGTTAGCATTAGCCTTTAGCATCTTTTACCCATAAAAACAGCCTTTGAAGAAGGCTAACATGCTGAACTTTTAATGAAAAAGAAGTATTGTATTTGTACACAAACCCCCTCCAGCCTCACGGCGGAACCGCACCGGCAGCGTTTTATACAAACATTAGATCCTGACATGACGGGTTGCCTTGCCTTTATTACGTGTGAGACTCAGCCATAGAGGCCTCTGACCTAATCACAGAGTGACACCAGTCTACAACCACTGGAATTAAACTTACAGGCCATCAGAATCAGCTACCAAAACTGTTTCCCTCACAGATAGATTTTGAATAAAAGCAATAAAGTTATTTTTAAGGTGCAGTAAAAGAGCTCAGAGACAGATATTACACATTTGGAGGGTACAGATCACACAGTCCTAAAAGTTTGAACACTCCCTGGTCAAATGACACATTTTGTTGATTTTCTAAGTGAAAATAAGTAAAGACATCCTCTACAGAGAACACACTTAGGTGTTATATGATATTTTTCTCCCAATTTTAGTGCACAAGTTCTATTTATTTGCAGAGTTGAACATAATGGAAAAAAATTAAAATGTAAAATATAAAATGTGCCATAACTTTTGCACACCCATATGGAAAAATATATGTCAAATGTATTTGTCACATATATTTTTGCAGTGTATGTAAATGGCCAAAAATACATTTGCTGAATATATTTTTAATGTATTTAAATGTATTTATTTGTATTTGTTATAGTTTTTTTTTATTTTATGTATTTTTAACAGGTTACAGGAATAACTAAATATACATGAACTGAATGAATGGTACTGACTTTGTATTAAGCAGGATACCAATGTGGTAAGACAGAGCTCTCACACAGTGTATTTCAAATAAACAGGATATCAAATCATAACTGCAGTGTATCAATACCTACCACACTTGCTTTTGTCATGTTAAAGGTTCATTTGCTAATATTTAAAACTGAGATACAGGAATACAAATTCATTTCAAACAGTTATCCAAACAGTGAAGTATTTTTCAAATGTTTATAATAAATATATGTACATACATTTATTTTTGTATGATACATTTGTATGTACATTTCTAATGTCAATATATTCTGAAATACATTTTAGTGTTTGGAATGCATTTCATTGTGCATTAAAATATGCAGAAGAGTGTTCTCTGCAGAGGAGGTGTTCACTTATTTTCACTTAGAAAACCAATAAAATAAGTTATTTGAGCAAATTTACTGTACATACGTCTGTAATTGTGGTGGCTGTTCGTGCCTTTAACCACTGGCATCTAATGAACATGTGACTAATGCTGCATTCATGACGCCTGATAGCTTTTCAGCTCAGAGCTTCCTATTTCCCACCTCAGAGTGCCCCCACTGGTCACAGTACATTAGCATTCATGTGGCTGCTGAATGCTAATAAAAGGCTCTTAAAAGCAACATTAGGTAACAATTTTATCTAATAAAATAACAACTTTAAAATCATTTTTATGGTACAGTGACTCATAACAGGGAGAATGGAGTGTCTCATTGCCACTCCAGGCCTGGAAAGCTTGCTAGAGCACTATGTAACTTTGGAAGAGCTGGCATGAAACCTACGTCACACACCAACAACTCCGCTAGCTATAAGAAGTAGCTCTGTAATTCCCATATCGACATCGTAGCAGAGGCTGCGAAGAGACAAAAGAAGACATTGTCGGAGGAATATGAGGAAAGGAAGAGTGACCAAGAAAGAGACAGACAAGAGCAAATCTTGGACTGGCTTTTATGTGTTGGCAAGAGCTAAAAGAGATAAAAGGACGCCACAGTATTTCAGCAGAACTGAAATTCTTTTGTTTTTCTTTTCATGTTCATCTCTGATGTCACAATAAATAAAACTGTGCAGAGTCATAATTGTGTAAAATCCTGTAATATTACTCCACCTCGTCAGTCGACAGGGTTCTTTCTCTTCTGATGTTGTCTTTGCCGATTCTACGTCCTTCAGCTTGTCAACAAAGGCAGGTGCACAGCTGTCCATGACGGGGGCTCAAAGCATGATTTGTATTATTTAAAGATGAGTTACACTCCACCACTGTAGGGAGATGTTATTACTGTTATTGTTCAGTAACTACAGGGACTCCAATGCAAACTCATGGAGCTTTTCTTAGGTTATTGAAGTGTGCCTGGTAAAGGGTTGAAAAGCGTTTACACTGGAATTAAAAAGAAAGTGGTTTGGTTCATTCATTTTTAAATGGATGTAAGCTATGACAACTCACCATTAATATAGAGACAAAAATGACATCATAGCCCACAGTTTGGTCAGTTATCTCACAACAGATCGACTGAAACTTCCAATCCAACCACTGGATTAGAATAACATGCACAAACAGAAACTTGAAGGTCATCTTAAAACTCTCAAAACATCCTATTACTACTAGTCTACAGGCAATGTCACAGTAATGGCAGGGAATTCCAGCTAGGGGAAGTCGGAGCTCTTGAAAAACTGGGAACCCAGCTGGAAAAAAAAACATTGTGTTGCTGTTGTCTCCTGATGGTTTTGTAAGGGTTTTGGCTTTTTTAAAGGGTTAATATCACAGTGTAATGCTTTATCCTAATGCTTTAACAGGTGACCAATTGCTGATTCTAAAAGCATTTGATTAGAGAGTAATTCTGGTTTCTAAAGGTCCTTTTTCAGCAAGGAACTGCGAGCTGGAGAGTCGTGATTTTTTACACTCGGAAGTCAAAAGCATGGTCATGAAAGCAGCATGAACAATGACGTTGAGTGAAACACAATACGTGCTTTTGTTTTCTTTGAAATGGTATTTGGAATGTGGTACTGTCAGATATAGGTGCACCACAGAAATCTAAATATCTTATCTTGATGTCCTTTCTTGGTCCATAAAACACTACTTGTTTCGTTTTCTCTTTAAGGTGGCATTAAGTGCAAATGGTTTTAGGTTTTTTTTAGGTAAATGCAAATGGTTGCCAATTTTAGCTACACTACAAATATTTGATCAGGTTGTCTTTCCTTCTTAGCCTGTATTCTTACACTGCAAGTAACTGTATTCTTTAATATATACTTTAATACAACAGATTGCGGTAAGGAATGGTGCACTTCGAGAAATGCTCGTCCAGCTTCTTGATTTTTACAGTATTTAGCTTTTATTTGCAGGTTATACTGGAAAAGTGTTAACTTATGACATTGTGTGGATTTATGTACCAAAAAACAGTCATAATTCATTTTTACATGACCATCTGTGGCAGCGTCTTGTGGACTTTCAGACGTTTTTCAAATGAAAATGCTGATTAAATTGTGCGTTGACAGTCGCTTTTCTCGTGTGAGTGTGCATTATTTAAGACATAATTCAAATTTAAATGCAAAATGTGTATTTGCATTTGCATTTCTGTATATAATGGCTGGAAAGCAAAGTGCTTTTAATATTTCATTGTTATTGTCTTAATGGTTCCGCCCAATGACAGCTGGGATAGGCTCCAGCACCACACCGCGACCCAGAAGGATAAGCGGTTTAGATGATGTATGTATGTATGTATACGTATGTATGTCTTAATGGTCTGACTCTGATATTAAAAACGGAATAACAATCACATTTGCAATTGCATTCGCTCACCATCGCGCTCTAGCTCGTATTTGCAATTGCATTTTCGCTGTCAACAAGGCTAGCCGTCAATCAAATGCTGTGGGCGGGATGTCAGGAGGAACTTTTTAGAGGAAGTGATGTAAACTTTGGGGTACTGCTGCCAAGTTAGATAAAAGCTTAGATTTTCCATATTAACTTTTTCCAGCCATTATATACAGAAATGCAACCACAGATGCACATTTTGCATTTGAATTTGAATGATGTGTTAAATAATGCACACTCACATGGGAAATGCAACTGTAACCATTGTGCACCATTTCATTTGCATAATCGCAAATTGTATCATAATTGCAAAAGTCTGGAATTACTGCCATATTTTCCAAACTCTCTTTATCAGTTATAATTAAACAGTCTGTTTTTGTTATTCTGCCTTCATGACAGATGTACATAAAAATTCCTCATTCAAAAAGGAGATCAAGCTGAAACACTGCTTGTAACTTATGTGTGAGTAGACGGAGCTGAATAGGTGAAGATATGCAAATTGTTTGTGATTTTATGATGTCACATAAACAATGAGTGTGTTTGCATGTACTCAGTAATCATTTTTTGTGATGTTCAGTTCATGGTGTGATTGATAAACAGTACTTTGTCACTGTGAAAATATGTTTGTCTCCCTTCTTAAACTATACAAATGATACATGACATTGATTACGTTCCTTCTATAAGCTCTATCCAGTCAGGCCTAATGAAGCTAAAGGGATTCTTTCTTGTGTGTTTGATTGTAACCAGAATTGTAATGAATCCCATCTGTATTAAGCAGAAAAACAGGGCCAACAGAGGTGCATCAAAGGGTTATTACTCACTCTTTTACACTTGAGGAGTATATCTGTCTGAGTGCCTGAACAAAAGAGAAAGTATATGCTAAATGAGAGAGCAGGTAAACACAGATTTTTCAATAAAATCTCATATACAGTCCTATTCAAAGTCTGGTTGCCTCTGATCAAAACAGGGAACACGCTTACATTTCTCTGCACATTTTAATGCACAAGGTTAACATATTGGAAAAAAATACTGACGTATAACATGTAGTAAGAGGTATAAAATGTGCAGTAACTTTCACACAGGACATTTTACTACTTTTACACCCCAGTATGTTAAAGTCAGCAAATAAACAGTAATTGTGCATTAAAATGATGCACCATGGGGTGCACAAACTTTCCCAAATAGCAAATGAGTGCTGACCTACACTTGCTACCTTCATTTGGCCCACATACCGCCGTGGAATGACGGTGAGGACGTCGTCTGAATCAGGGTGAAGGAATGTTAACTTACTATTTTTTTTTTTTCTTGAGTGTGTTTTTTCTTAACTCTGTTCTTACGAGAAAACTCATGAGACATTGTTTTTCTTCAAATAGCTTCGTAAGAATGATCTTATTTTCTTTTCTTAACTATTTTTTAAAGAATAATTCTTAGAGGAAGTGGTATTCTTGAAAACATTATGTTCTTAAATGTTTCCTTAATATAGCCTCAAACTTAGGCTGTAAGAGTTGACAAGGTGAGCATCTAAATTTATCGCGATCGCTGCCTCTGCTGCTCCTGTCCGTCCTCGTTTGTCACCCCACAACTATCATATTTTCCAAGGGAGATTTTTTCCGGTTGGCTGTTTCTTCCACCATCACCTCTAGTTCTTGTTTGCTAAAGACCACCACATTAACAGTTTTTTTAAAGTTTTTTCTTAAGAAAGTTTTTGTGAATCCGGCCATTGGATATTCAGGCGCATTCTTACTGCTGAGACACACTGTGTTTTTTTTTTCAGATCAACAAAAAATGTTACATAGGTCGGCATACTGCTGTATCTCAGCCAGAACTCCCAGATCTGTTTTAAAGAGAGTTCTACTGATTTCTTATACCTTCCACATATTTGACCTGTTAGGATGTAAACATACTTATTCAGAGCTGTGAGAATTGTTCACAGTGGTGGTGATAGGAACCAGACGTCTGAAGAGCTTAATGCCTCTAAAAGCTCCATCACAGAAAGGTATTAAATGAAATGGTTATGAATGCACTGCCTGATGCCTGAGACACTATTTCACATTAGTTTTTTTTTCTATTTTTTTTTTTTTAATCTCTTCATGGTGGAGAGATATATATGCAAGATGTTATGAGGCAAAATAGTCCCCAGTGATTTACCACTATTTTACCATCATGAACATCACATATAAAAGCTCAGGAGACACGTGTAGGTTCACTGGTGGTTTTGGATCATAAGGAAAATGGCTACGTTTGTGTTTGTGTGTATTTGTGAGACTTTGTGACGCTCAGTTCCTGTCACCACCACTTTAAAGAAATCATTATCTCTGCCTCCCACTGACCACAAAGTGCAAATCTGACTAGTGGAACAAGTTTTCCAATCTTTCTCTGGTAAAGTCCAAATGACTGAGGAATGCTGTTGAACTCGCTTCTCCTCGAAGTCGTTCTCAGGTTTTAAATGTTATTAACTGCACTGATTTGGCTGGAAGTACTAAAAATGATAGACACTCGTTCCATTAAGCATTTCAAAACACATCACTTGCATATTTGGAGTTAAAAGTGTTTAGCAAAGCTAATGGGCCACTTTATCAGGTATTATATCTGCACTCATTGTCAACATGCTGAACGTGACAGACTGGGGACAAAAATAAAACACAAAATGTGGTCTGTGCAAAAGTAATGGTGCATATTCTAGTGTATGTTTTATTGTTTTTCCAGTATGTTAAATTCAGCAAACAGACAGTGATTGTGCACTAAAACTTGCATACAATGTCCTATGCAAGTGTGTTCTCTGTAGACGATGCTTAACTTCAACAAAACATGTCATTTCACTACTTTTCCACGCGACAACAAACAAACAGAGCAGTAGTGAAGTAGTTAATACTCCTCGCTTGGGCAGAATCACTTGCGTCTGTAAACGTAGACGACTTTGTGGCAGTTGGGGCAGCTGTGCTCCACATCTCTACAGGACTTGGTACAGAATGGGAATCAGACTGCATGGCAAACAACTGCAGAGAGAACAACAGAGGAATGTAAAGATGTATATCTGTGAGATGTTCACAAGCTGATTAATGGGAGTGCAAATCAAGTCTCGAGTCTTTAGTACAGAATTTTTGCTTGTTATTAGCTGCCAAAAACCTCTCAGATTAAACAAGACTTCAAATGACGAGTTTTCATTGCTGAAAAGACTGTAGTCCGAAGGACAGAACTGAAGTACTACATGTAGTAAATGCAATATGTAAAGGAGTGATATGTAAGATGACGCAACCTGACGAATTCATACTTCACACTCCAAACACATAGGGGGCAACATATCACCAGAAAGTTGTGGTGTCTATTCCTTTCATAAGAAACAAGGAAATGCACAGACTTACTAGTCTAGGAAAAATGTTGCAAAAATGTTGCATCAAACCTCATCCCTTTACTCGCCAAGAGCTGTCTCCAATGGTGAAGAGCAACACCAATGTTAAGATATTGGGCTAGCTGGTCAGCATGCTAACTTCAGTAGATGTCTCTGCAACTCGGTATATAGATGCCTTCGAAGTAATGTCAAAACTTCTTTCTTTCTGTTGTAAATTTCTGTTCATTTTGAATTGTTTTAAACTAAAAATCTTACAAATTGCACCTTTAAAGAAAAGAAGCCAAACAACTTGAAACACTTGGTTAGTCTATAGTTTATATAGCACGTAAGCTAGCTAGCTAGCTCAATAACTAACCCAGTTAAAGTTTTAGTAAACTTTATAGGAATGTGATCTGTAACATAATAAAAAAAGACTGTAGTCTGAAGGGCAGAACTGAAGTACTACATGTAGTAAATGCAATATATAAAGGAGTGATATGTAAGATAGCGCAATCTGTCCAATTCATACGTCACACTCCAAACACATAGGAGGCAACATATCACCAGAAAGTTGTGGTGTCTGTTCCTATCGTGAGAAACAAGGAGATCCAGAGACTTACTAGTCTAGGAAAAATGTTGCGAGTTCAGCATCAAACCTCAGCCCTTTACTCGGCAAGAGCTGTCTCCAATGGTGGAAAGCAACACCAATGTTAAGTCTTGTTTTGCTTCTTTTTATCACACTTATTTTCTTTGTTGCTGAATGAGGTTTCTTGCTGGGAGCAGGCGGCGGTAGTGATAATGGTCATTTGCCAAGGGCTTCAGCCATCATTTACTGTTCCTTTCACTGGCTACCTGTCCTTAAACGGTCTAACCTCAGGGCAGTGCTACTTCTTCATCCTTTCATGTTGGACTGAGGGCAGACTTGATGCTACAGTGACTCAATATCACCTGTTGAGTTATAAAATTGATGCTACAAGACAGGAGAGGCGAGGACTAGCTGGTTAGCATGCTATCTCTGCAACACAGTATATGGATGCCTTTGACCTAACGTCAAAACCTATTTCTTCACATTCTGTTGGAAATTTTAGTTTATTTTGGTTTGTTTTCAGCTAAAGATCTTACATATTGCACCTTTAAACAAAAGAAGCCAAACAACTTGAAACAGTTGTTAGTCTGTAGTTAATATAGCACAAAAGCTAGCTAGCTAACTCAACAACTAATCCAGTTGAAGTTTTAGTAAACTTTAAAGGAATGTGATTTGTAACATACCAAACCTTCAGCTAGATTAGCTGACAAATATAATAGCTAGTGCACTAGCAAGCATATTTGCTAGCCAAACTATGTGCTAGTTCACAGTTTTAAGTTTTCTGGCTACTTTCCTTTATACACTGAATGTTCTGCATGTAGAGCTTTGTTTTTTCCATGAAACTGAAGGGTTTTGTAAATCAACATGCAACTCAAGTCCAACCAACATCTCTGGGGTTTATGCATACAAACTCACCCAAGAATAAAAAGGGCTGCAAAAACGACCCAGGTGTGCTGTCCGTTGACGTATCGGGTCACTGTCACAATTTCACGTTGGCAAAAACTGCACTTCATTTGCCCTGGTCGATCTTTCAGAAGAGGCTGAACCACTACAACCACAAAAGACACACATATGCTTCACATGTATCAACTGAAACTGCATTTAAGCACTTTCCACTACTTCGTGAAATGGTGTTCACAGATAGTGAGTAAAGGTTCCTGCTGCATTTTTATTAGGGCTATCAAACCAAATACGATAAAATATCATGAAATCATGATAAAATAACCATGAATTATAAGAATGTTTTGTGGCGAAAAAGGTGAGATGTGTTGCTTTTCCTCATTTACAGGCTTTAACTTCTGTCCAGCGCTGCTGCCATGGTAACACTGAATGATGGCGCATGCACAGTGGACCCCGGGGCCTCATCCCAGTAGGCCATGTCTGGTAAGCCCCCACTGTGAGGAATCCAGGGGGCATCCTGATCAGATGCCCAAACCACCTTAACTGGCTCCTCTCATTGCAGAGGAGTAGCGGCTCTACTCTGAGCTCCTCCTGGATGACCGAGCTCTTCACCCTATCAAGTAGATTGTAGCCCACCACCCTGGGAAGAAAGCTAATTTCCACCGCTTGTATTCGCAATCTCATTCTTTCATTCATTACCCACAGCTCATGACCATAGGTGAGGGTCAGGATGTAGACAACCTGTAAACAGAGAGCTTTGCCTTTTGGCTCAGCTCCCTCCTCACCACTACAATCTGGTACAGTGACTGCATTATTGTTGCCGCTTGTCCCAGCCTGCGGCCGATCTCACAATAACTCTCTAACCATCTCTCATAACCCCGTGATACTTAAACTCCTCCACTTGGGGCAGATCCTTTCCCCTTACCTGGAGTGGGAATGCTATCCATTTCCGGACTAGGACCTTGGAGTCAGACTTGAAAGTGTTGATCCACATACCAACCGCTTCACACTCAGCTGCAAACCACTCCAGTAAGCAATGGAGGCATCCATGCGATCGAGCCAAAAGGACGACATCATCTGCAAATATCAGAGACGCAACCGTCTGGCATAATGCCCTCCTGATCTCGGCAGCCTTGACACCCTGTCCATGAATATCAGAACAGGAGAGGAGACAAGGAGTCCAACACTCACACAGAATGAGCTTGACTTAATGCCGAGTATATGAACACAACACTTACTCCAGGAGTACAGACATTGAATGGCCCGGAGTAGTAGCCCCGGCACCCCATACTCCTGGAGGACCTCCCACAAGCTATCTCGAGGAACACAATCATGTAGACTGGGTTGGCAAACTCCCATGCCCCCTCAACAATCTGCAAGAGGGTGAAAAGGTGGTCCATTGTTCTCACGGTCGGGATGGGATCCGCAGTGTTCCTCCTCAATCTGAGTTTCGACTATCGGTCGGAGTCTCCTTTCCCGCACCTTGGCATAAATTTTCCCAGGGAGACTGAGCAGAGGTGTGTCAGCCATGATAGCCCCACAACATCCAGAGCCTTCAGCATTTCCAGTGACCTCCACCAGGGAAATGGAACCTGACGCACCAGAAGCCTCTGGCCCTGACTCCTGTGAGGGAGGCATATCGCTCCTGTTCAATACAGCTTGGGCGAAGCCACTCCAACCACTCCTGAGTCCCCAGGTTTTGCTTCCGCCACCATTGCCGCTGCCGCCTTTTTTGCCTGTCGGTACCTATCTCCTGAGTCGGGAGTCCTCCGGGCCATCCAGTCCCTAAAGGCCTCTTTTTTCAGCTTGATGGCCTCCATCAACATGGGTGTCCACCAGGGGGTTCTTGTGTTACCGCCCTGACAGGCACCAACAAGCTTGGTGATGAAGGTTTTGAACAGGGCCCAATCAGACTCCATGTCCCTTATCTCCTCCTGAACATGAGAAAGCTCTCCTGGAGGTGGGAGTTAAAATCATTCTGGACAGGGTCTTCCCTGCCTTCTGATCCAGCTCACCACCAGATAATCATTTGACAGCTTAGCACCTTTCTTCACCTGAGTGTCCAGAACATATGGTCCCAAGTTAGATGAAACGACAACAAAGTTAATCATTGAGCTTTGACCAAAGGAGCTCTGGTACCATGTACACTTATGAACATCATTGTGTTACGGACAATCCATGCCTAGCACAGAAGTCCTTTTCCTGCATTCCTTAGACATGGAGGATTTTTGGATTTATGGATCGAGTTAGTCTGGGTCTTCACTCCAGACCTGTTTGCCTTGGGAGACCCTACCAGGAGTGTATTGCTCCAGATGACTTAGCTCTGAAGATCCCTAGATCACAATGACTGCATTGTGCTAAGTATGAAGTTTGGTTGAGGAAGGATAATACTATGGGGTTGTTTTTCAGGGGTTGTCCTGGCCACTTAGTTCCAGTGAAGGGGAATCTTAATACTTCAGCAGACCAAGACATTTTGGACAATTCTATGCTTCCAGCATGATCCAGCATGACTGTGCCCCTGTGCGCAAAGTAAGCGTACAGAGTTTGAGTTTGGTGTGAAAGAACTTGACTGGCCTGCACAGAGCCCTGACCTCAACCCCACTGAACACCATTGGGATGAACTGGAACGGAGATTGTGAGCCAGGCCCTCTCGTCCAACGTCATTGTCTGATCGCACAAATGCTCTTCTGGATGAAGGAGCAAAAATTCCCACAGATATACTCCAAAATCTTGCAGAAAGCTTTCCATAAGAGTGGAAGCAGTTATAGCTGCAAAGGGAGGACCCACTCCATTTTAATGCCCGTGAATTTAGAATGGGATGTCATTAAAGTTCCTGTAGGTGTAATGTGTAGGTGTCCCAATACTTTTGTCCATATAATGTATTTCTGAGGAGATAACATGTAACACTATTTACTTGCATAAAAGAGGAGGAAGTCAAAGGACAATAAGTTTCCAAGTTTCCAGAACAGGAGTTCTAATAGGCTGTAATAGGTTTTCTGTTATGGTTTGTTGTGGAATCCAAGGTATACATGACGATCAACCTTATTTTGTACATATTATTAGATTTGTTTTTCTTTATGGGCTTGGGGTCAAAGATCAAAGAACAACGAAACACATCACACTGACAAACTGTTGAACACTCACCCACAGAGTTATCTACTGGTTGAACGATGGACTGCATAACTGTTGGTACTGGTGCTGGCTGGAGTATGGTTACTGACGGCTCTGGTTGAACCACAGGCTGGATTATGGTAGGCTGAGGTGCTGGCTGGATTACCATCAATTCTGGTTGAACCACAGGCTGGATTATGGTAGGCTGAGGCGCTGGCTGGATGACTGTCACCTCTGGTTGAACCACAGGCTGGATTATTGTAGGCTGAGGTGCTGGCTGGACGACTGTTACCTCTGGTTGAACCACAGGCTGGATTATTGTAGGTTGAGGTGCTGGCTGGATGAACGTTACCTCTGTTGAACCACAGGCTGAATTATTGTAGGCTGAGGTGCTGGCTGGATGAACGTTACCTCTGGTTGGACCACAGGCTGGATTATCGTAGGCTGAGGTGCTGGCTGGATGAACGTTACCTCTGGTTGAATCACAGGCTGGATCACTGTAGGCTGAGGTGCTGGCTGGATGAACGTTACCTCTGGTTGGACCACAGGCTGGATTATCGTAGGCTGAGGTGCTGGCTGGATGAACGTTACCTCTGGTTGAATCACAGGCTGGATCATTGTAGGCTGAGGTGCTGGCTGGACTACTGTTACCTCTGGTTGGACCACAGGCTGAATGATTGTAGGTTGAGGTGGTGGTGGGACCATGGTTACTGTGGACTGAACTGTGGGCTGGACCACCAAAGTTCCAGGTGCAGCCTGATCCACTACCACAGGGGGTGGGATTATGGCTTCCATTGCAGCTGTAAAGAAGCAAGACACAAACCTATCAGAGAGAAAGAGGGGAACTTTAGACAGCAAACATGTCTTAGCTGATTGACTACATTTGGAATAAGTGGCGAGTTGATTTTTGGTCAAACTGTTGCTTTAAATGGAGCTCAGTCTCTCCCTCCTTCTCTGTTATGTTCTGTCAGTCATGACTGTACGATGGTGCTGACATATGAACAGTTTCTCTACCATCCCACCCAGCAAGTCTGGTGGCATTTATTTCATAGTGTTGAATGATTGAATATTTTAGCATTGCAGCCAGTTTCACATAACAAACATCTTTGTTTGTGTAGAAAAAGTGGATAAAGTTGTATATATACACACACAGTGCTTTATTAAATTGTTTAAAACCATTTATCTGACAATATCTGTGCTTTTGTCAGTAAAACACTGTGTAACATTGTAATAAACACAAAAAAACATTTATGTTTGTTAGTAAATACTTGTTTTTTTGTTAAAAAAAGTACATGATATCTTTTGCTCTGGTTAGAAGAACACAGGTTTGGTTCCAGATATCTCCTCAACACCTTCAGCCATGGCATCCATTTATTAAATTCCACCAGCAGTACACCTGATTTTAATGATCGACTGATTAGGTGAACTAGGTGTTGGATGATAACTACGTTTAATATGTTAAATGCTGCTCTTCCTTTGACAGACATACAATGAATACTTCTTGTATTAATGTTACTTATATTTATTCTAATGCAGACCACTTTTGCACTGTGTTGTGTATATACACAGATACTGTGCTATAATGTATGCACAGCATATCATATGCTTTAGCACCCAACAAGTCAATAAGACACTACAATGAACAATATTACTGCAGTCTTCTGTATTACAATGTTATATCATTGCACATTCATGAATAGTTTACTAAATTGCATAAAATGAACATTCAAAATACATTAAAGCACACTGTGTTGCTGGGCTTGTTTTATATTCCTAATTCTTGGCAGCATAATTCAACAATGTAATTAAAATATATGCACAGAAATGTACACAAGTACACACACATGTATACACGTGCACATACATTGCATACATACCTGGCTCTTCTGTGTTTTGTGGAGATTTGAGAATCAGATTATTACGCCGTTCCACATAAGATAAGACAGCACATGCCTCACCTCTATGAGTGATGTGATTTTCTCACAGAGAGGAAATGGGAAAGAGAAAAGGGGGAGGGGGCAGTAGAGCAGTAGAGGTGAGTCACAAGGAACGATGGATCTTAAAAATACATTGTTTAGCGAAATGTAAAACAAATAAAATTTAAATAAAAATGTTTTTCTCTATTTCAGCTTTTCAAGTTTTCAATTTGATTTGTTTTAGAGCTGCTTATATTTCACCAAGAAACTGTCACAACAGTTACTAGTGACACTTTGACTAATCTGTAGCACATGTACAAGAGAACATGTACCTTGAAAGAATAGTTTGGTGAAAAATCTAATTTACATTGTTTTTGCCTTACGTCTTACCCCAGATGTAGTGAACCAGCCAAGACATGTTAGGAGTTCAAATTTTGCTTCTTTAGTTAAGCGCCGGAGCTACAAGGCTAATGTTGCTAAGATAGAAAGACCAGAAGTCAATAGTCACCCAAATCTTTTCTGTAAAAATATCCCCAGAACATCTCTAAACATGCTCAAGCCACATCCAGCTCTTTATTAAGGTAATGCAGACACAACAATATGGTTTATTACACAGTAATAAGCCTTCCTTACCCTGTACTCTACAAATGAATAAAAGTCTTCCTGGCCCTATGTTTCCTTGAAAATGACTATTTCCTTTTTTCCAGAATGACAACAATTATGTCTGATATTTACATATAAAAACATTACAGATGTGCTATGACTCCTTCATGGTTTAATTTTTTTGAATGATTACATTTGCTTTCCATGGAAAAGCACTGGATTTCCACAACAAGATCCATAATGCTCCAGAAGCTCTGCACTATTTTATTAAAGGTAATGTGTTTTTCTTTTTTAATGTGTTTTTCTTATTCTTTTTAATATTTCTTTTTTAATATTTAACATTAAAAAGTGTCATTGAATTGGGAAACCTTCAACTTTTAACTTAAAAATTACTTGGAGCACAGCTTTGAAATTCTATATGGTTATAAGAATTAAATTGAAGTGTAATCTTTTTATTTTATTTTTTTCTTTTTTTCTTATGGAAATCCTTTGAGACTGGACAGGTCATAGTTAGGTTGGCATGGAACCAAAAGAGAATATCCACAAAAATTCCAGAGTGGGATAAAGCCCACATTGGTCGCTGTTAAAATCTGTTCTTGGTGGTTCCAGTAAATTTTCGTTGATATTTGAAGATTTTAACAAGTCACGCATTAACATGAGCTCACATGATACACTGAAAGACCACCATGAATGTTTTTATTACTTAAACTAAGTGTGACCTCACAAACCCCTTGATTCATTTTGAAAATGTTTATTAAACACCGAAGTAGTCATTTCTAATCATCACTCTTAGTCAGCTCTGGACTTCTGCTCAGTGCAGTTATGAAGCTGAATAATTAAAGCTGAAGAAGCCAGATGACTCTGGTGTCATCGGGGACAGCGGCTGCTCAGGAGGCAAAAAGGCCTTTCTCAGATCTTCATCATCAACGAGTGTCTATCCTGTGGTAAATGGTGTCATCGCTCGTGACAAAAACTGTTTATCCAATGACTTAAGAATTAAAACACACAAATATTTTTTTAATGGTGCAAACTAGCACAAACGTAGCACGAGACCATTTCTGTGTGATTTAGATGCTGAACAGGGCCTGAATGACGTCACGGATTTCTCAAAAATGCTGCCAGCACAAACGATTCCTGCGGCACAAACCAGCACAAACGCAGCACAAACTACTAGTATTTTTATTCCATTTCTGATCAGCTTCATTGAAGTCCCTGTAGTTACTGAATAATAAGCCTTAGTATGTAATAAGCCTGGGATTTTAAGGGTTTAAAGGACAAGTCGAGAACAAAACAGAGGTCAAAACCTAGAGGCTAAACACATGAACTAGTAGACTAAGCCAAAAAGGATAAAGACAGAAAAACAAGGTCAAAAAACAAGACTGGTCAAACACAGAGTAACAGTACAGAAAGCTCAGTATGCACAACAAACTGTGGCACTACTTCGCAATGAGTGTGCAGAATGAACCAGGCTTTATAGGATGGAGTGGTGACAGTCAGGTGCAGCTGGTTAGAACTCAGGATCTGGAGAGCGGTTGCTGATTGGCTGATGCAGGGAAAGTGAGTGTCACATACTCTCCTGGAGGATTCTGGGAGTTGGTCTCTGGGAGAGGATTAGTGTCCAGAGTGTTATGGACTACAGAGCCAGAGGGAGGCGTGACATACAGTCTGATGTACTGAGTGGTCAACAGACAAGCTAAATAGGTCAAGTGAGAGCTACTGCTTCTCACCACTGTCATTTATATTTCATTTTAAAAAAGCTTTAGTATATTGTGGTGTCAGCAAAGAAGACAGTGCAGGAAACATTGCACTTGAAAGGGGAATGCTCTTTTATTGGACAGACAGCAGGGGAGAACCGCCACTCAGTGCTGCTGAAACTGCCGAGGCAGCAGGTAGGTCAGTTCTATCCATACACTATCACTGGCACCAACTACCCCACAGCCCAGCGCAGAATAGCACAAACAACACATGTGCACATCCCCAACTGAACAACAACTTATGTACAAATTAAGTCTCTCCTACCATGAACGCAGTGCTGCCCATGAGCCTGTGTGCATGACTGCTCTGCAACCTATATGAGCCAGAAGCGGGACGCTACATAGTTTCCTCATTCAAAGGTAAGCTGTCCAGATGATCTCACTAAATTTGAGCTGAGCCCCTGGGGCGCACTGGCAGACGCTCTCACTGGAGAGCCGTGGCCAATGCCGCCAGGTCACCAAGCTGGCAGGTCCTCGCTGTCAGCTGTCCAAGCATCCTCACTGCCACGCTGTCCTCCTTCTGGGCTCTGCTGCCAGTATTCTCCACTCTGCTGTGTCCGGCAGGTTTTTGGCGAGCTCGGTCTTCTCCACCTTTGAGTTTGTGGAAGTGTCATTCCTCTCCAGTCTGCTGAGGGGAGTGCTGTCCCACTTCTGACACCAGTGTGGGACCAGCAGAGAAGATGATGCACAAACATTACAATTGAAAGGCGAACACTCTTTTATTGAACAGGCAGCTATGGAGAGCCATCGCTCAACAACTTGTCTGTAATAAAAGCCTCTCCTACCATGAATGCGGTGCTTCCCAAGAACGTCTTTGCTCACAACGCGAGCCAGTAGCAGGACGTTACAATATGGTTTCTTATACTTCATGTGTTTTCTTGATATATTTTTACAGATGTTGTTATTTTTTCCACATCGTCATTAGATTACGCAGCCGGTAAAAACTGTGTGTGACCTTGCTAAATTAATTACTACAACACAGTATTGGGGGAGGGGGAGAAAAAAAAACAGAGAAGTGTAGCTTTTAAAAAACATGCACAGTAACTTTGTCACATTTCAAAATATGTGTCCAGTTTATTCCTTATGTACAATGCAAAACCTGCACAACCTTTAACAATATTAACCAGAGATGGACTCCATTGTGAGAAAGCTGAGAAAGTCTCTTATTAATCTGAAATAAGCAGCTTTCCAGGTTTCCATTTCAGCAGAGACGGAAATCTCTGCTCAGAGAAAGATCCACTGCGTAACATCCCTCAATATGTGTTTATTATTATGATATTGATATTATCATAGTAACTATTAATTAATCAATTAATTAATTGGGCTGCTATTTGTTCATTTGTGCAACTACTTGTAGTAACAATAATAATAATAACTATTATTATTATTATTATTATTATTATTATTATTATTTATAGCGCATTTTGTCACTGGGGTGGTTCCCTCAAAGTTACATCTCAGTACCTTTAGTCTGGGAACATAATTGTACCACATAAATGTAATTGGACTCCACACACCCCGTCTCGTCTCCAGGCTTATATTTTACTGTTCTGTTTTAAAACATTCGGTTATGAAAAGGTACAAATACGAACTTTTCACCTGGAAAAACTTCTTTAGGTTGAACCTTAAAACCACTGTTGTACCTTTGAGGGAACATTTACATTGTACCTTCACTCTTAAAGAACAACACATCCTGTCTCTGACTAGACACATCAGTGTGTTCAGCTGGAGACGAAACATTTTCAGTTACTTTTAGCACCAAATGCGTTGAAATATTTCTATACCCAGTTATGGATCACACAGTTTGGGTTACTTTAAATCTTTAAACAGTATGACACAAAAAGCGTTAAAATGGGTAACACGAGTTAGTGTGTAGTTATTTAACACATCACTTTATAGGTGAATGAATGCTGATGAACGAAACCTGTACAGTACCTTTATTTCTTACAGTGTACAGACAGGTGATTAGGTTTAACAGTTATAGAAGAAACTAGGAATATTAAATAAAATCGTGTAAGACAAAGGCTCGTATCACATTACAATATAAATACAAAAAATTAAATTAAAAGCTAAATTAAATATATTGTAATTTGTTCAGATAATCGCCTCAATAATAATGTAAAAATAAATAAATAAAATACAATAGAAAAGAGAGACTCGCGATCTGATTGGTTTTCGCTTTGCGCGCGCTGAGCGTCAGAGCGGAATGGAGCGCGTCCTTGGATACCGCTGGTTTCTAGGCAACGGAGTGTAAACAGTGCGGCGTCCTCCTCAGTCTCCGGCTCAGCGGTTACTCAGGGCGGACTAACAAAACTAGAACAAAAGGCTGAATTTCTGCGCTTTTGCGCTGCTTATTTGTCCGAAATGTCGTCTGAAGTACTCGCGCCGCGTTCTGACCCGACAGCCGCTCCGGAACAGGCCCTGTCCGTGGCTCCGTCGGCCGGTCTGGCCACCGCGGGCTACCGCTCCGCTAAGTATGGCCCGGGCGAGTGGCTGGCCAACAACGCGGCCACGCTGCAGCGCGCGTTCTCTGACCGGCTCGCAGCCGAGAGGATCCAGCGCGCCTCCCGCGCTCTCTCGGGCGAGGTGGAGGCGGGCACGCTGGGCGCGCAGAGCCGCGGAACCCGGCTGCTGGGGGCGCGGCTGCAGGACCTGCACTCCCGCAGGTCGGAGCTGGAGCGCGGCGTGGAGCGGCTCGCCGCCGAGACGGAGCTGCTGCTCGGGCTGAAGAGGCGGCTGGAAAAGGCCCTGCTGACCACCGACATCCCTCTGACCATCGCCACGGACAACCTGGGCTGCAGGGAGAGGCGGTTCGGGCCGGATCTGGTCAAGGACCAAGTGGAAGAAGAGCTTCTGAAGGTGCGTTTAAAGAGGCGGTTCAGTGGGAAAAACAGTGCACACAGTTTCCCCCGTCTCTCAGACAGAGTCCACTGACCCAGACAGGTGTGGCATCTGAAGCTGGCTTCTTTAGTTTTACACTGGGGCTATGAGGCCAACATAGCTAGCAAGTAATGGAAGTCTATGTCACCCAAAACATCAACATAGCCCTGCTGTTATCTTCAGATTCAGTATCATCTTTATCGTTTGACCCCAGCAAATTAAACCTGGAGAAAAGGATTATAATTAAAAATCTTACCCATGTTTATAAATCAGGTACTTAGTTTCTTTGCAAAAAAAATGATGTCAGTCATTTATTTCATTTATTTATAGACATTAAACACTAAATGGGGCCAAACTGACCCCAAAGATAATAGGAGGGTTAGGCGTGTTGCTCCACTGCAACAATAAAGAAGCAAACTTTAGACATCTGGCTGATGGTTGAAATTGTGCAAACTGTGTGATAAAATGTGAGTCCAGTTTGGCTTTCAGAACATTGTAAGGTGAAACCAACACTGCTGTAACAGGATCAGCTTGATTTAATGTTGCTTACTCAATTATTCATAAGCAGGAGTGGCTTAAGTTATACTCAGAGTCAATTAACGTGATGTGTTTCTACTTCTATGAAATATCGGCTCAACATTAGTGATCAAGAACCAACTGCCAAATGAACAAAGGTCAAAAAAGGACTGAGTAACTTATAGGACCTCAGAACCAGCATCTGTCAGGCCAGGAACAGAAGTTAGGTGCTGTTCTTCTCTTTATGGTCTAACCCAGGGGTCGGCAATATGAGGCTCCAGAGCTGCATGCGGCTCTTCTACTGCTCTGTTGCGGCTCCACAGCAGAATCAGATCTGTAGGTAAAACTAAAATAATCCTCCTTTACAGTAAAATAAAGCTCTGCTGATCGTTTTAACACAGTTTTAACAATTAAATGTTCCTAAATGCTGGGGTTCATGTAGAACTGCTGATTCACCCTTTAACCCTGAAGGTTGGTGCACAGACTGCTGGTCACCATAGCAATGCAGACAACAATCTCTCCTAGCTAGTAGCAATGAAAAGGCAAAGAGAAAGATTTAAGATGAACATCGATAATTTGGGGATGAATGGACTTCTGGAATTCTTGTTCGCCAGCTTCTTGTTTGAATTGTCATGTTCCACCTTAAATGGTGCAGCAGTTACAGTCTGGCATCTCGGGCACATTTAAGGTGGAACAGGAAAATTCAAACAAGAAGCTGGCGAACGAGAAGCGACTTCAGCCTCATAAAAAGTCGAACGCTGAGAGACATTTTACAAAAACTGTTCTACTTTTGAGGAAATGTTTCCTGCCGGAGATGCGAGAAAAGCAGCTATAGCTGAGCTGAAGCTTAAAGCAGAGCAAAGTACGTCTGTGGTTTCATTTATATTTTTAAGTCTATACTAGGATTACATTAGCTAGCACAGATTAAGACATACTTTCAGCCAAGATGGTAAAATGTTACTTCAATAAAATGGACATAAAATGTTGCGGTTTGATTTTTGTTAGATGGACAAAATGGCTCTTCTTAAGATTTGGGTTCCCGACCCAATAAAACGCTAAAGCTCCAAAGTGAGAGGCGTCACAAGGCAGTACAGGAGCTGTTACTGCCGTAACAGGAAGAAGTTAAACTGGGAAAAGACGCCAGGAGCCGAGTGCTAATGATTAAAATGGAACTGCGGAAAAAAAAGTGAAATCCTTTCTTATTCTTCTATTCTAGGAGCAAAAGTATTATTATTTAAACACACTCCCACACTAATGCGTCTGAATGTTACTGATGTGCATGAGTGAATGTAACTACACATCTGTGATGTCTTTACAGGAGGTTGAACTCATCAGAAACGTCCAGGCTCTGCTGAAAAAAACTCTGGATCAAGCTGTCAATCAAATCAGGTACTGATCTCATCCTGTTAACTGTGTGCTTTTAACTCACACAGTTCAGGAGAGTCCAGGCTGCTCAGATATGCCATTATTTGACATATAAATGCTGAGAATTCTAATATCTTTTTGAATTTTGGATATTTTTTATAAAAAATTCTCAGATTCTTATACATTTTTACAGTTTTAGCACGAAAAGATGATCCAAACAGTTTCTTTGCTCAGATATGTTTTTCAGAAATTGTAGGACTGGAGTGTCTGTAAGCTGAAAATATGAAAGTTTTCAGTGAAAAATAAGTGATTAGCATAAAACTTTCTTTCTTATTTTTCTCTTCTCTTGGATCTGAGCTGAGATGTGTATAAGTGTATCATGTGTGTGTGTTAAACCGTCACTGAGTTATAAAGGCTAACCCAGAGCTACAGTAACACATTACAGAGTGGATCACGTTATAGGCCGTTTTCAATGTTTAGAGAGGGCGAGTTCTACTGATTGGCGTTGATATGTGTATCATGTCTGTAAGTTAAACCACTCCTGAGTTATGTGACAGGTCAGTCAGTCTGCCACTGGCAGGAACCCCATCACCCATCCTGTGGTCAGACCCAATGCCACCACTAGATGGGAGCAGGGACCACCTCTAGGTAATCAGAGACAACCGGTCACACCTGTGTTCAGCTCTACTTAAGAGTGGCTCCTTGCTCAGTCATGAGTTTGCATGCTGTGTGCATGCAACTCTTGATCAAGCTGGTATTTGGGTAATTGAGAGTTTGCTTCTGGTCTTCAATCACTTGTTACAACAGCGTAAGTATTAAAAACAAGAAAGAAAGAAATGAATGAATGAAATAAGACAAAGGGAATAAAGTAAATGAAAAAGATTTAAGTCCTTCCTCCTTTTTTCCTCTTTTTCTTGAGCCTTTGGCCAGCCCCACTTTCAGTGGTGGTGTAGTTCAGTTGGCTGCACACTGGTTTCTTGGTTTCTCCTCTTTGGAGTGGTTTTAGTTCAGGTTTCTCTCTGGCATCTGGGCCAGCATTTCTAGACTTGCTTCGGCCTTCCATACCTGGAGGCTTGGCTTCAGTTCCACCTCTAGGCAAACTCTGTTACAAGTTATGAAGGCTAGATGGCAATCTAGATGTGTTAAGGGTTAAACTCTACTTAAGTTCATTTACTGTTACAAATATCAGTTATTCAAGACAGGTTGCAGTCTGTAACCCATCATATTTCAGCTGAAGTCAAAACAATATTTGAAGTAGTTAAAATTAAATATGTCTGTAAAGGGTTTCAGTCGCTCAGAGTCCTGGAGGCCATTAAATTATCCAATAGTAGTAGTAAAACAAGGCCAGTGGACTATAATCCTGACTTTTCACCACTCATGTGATGTTTTGACAGGGTTCAACTGGCATTTAAACACTTGTAACTGGTTTGTGTCAAGACCATTATGCTTTAACGACATCACAAATTATGCTTCTAAGCTTTGTGACATCACAGATGTGAATCAACTCATCTGTGCTAGGCCCAATAATCTATATACTACATCTATTGTCCTGCACAGGGCACGGGTGGGCAGTTCTAGTACAGCACCATAGACGTGATGTACGATGGGGATGCTGGGAACATGTTCTCACCACTTTTATAAAGTGTAGCCTGTTAAAAAAATCTTTTATATATTAATAACTACACCGGTTGAGGCCCCGATGGATCCCCTGTCTGTGTTTTATGTCACTGTTACGGGTGTTGTTCACTTTTCTCTCAGTGTCTGAATCGTAAAATGGCTTTCTCGAGTGATTTTGAGGGCACTACAATCTCCCACAATGCACTCCATTTTATCAGCTCCACTTACTATATAGGAGTTACAGACTGTAGTCCATCTGTTTCTCTGCATACTTTGTTAGCCCCCTTTTACTCTGTCCTTCAGTGGTCAGGACCCCCATGGACCCTCACAGAGCAGGTACTATTTGGGTGGTGGATCATTCTCAGCACTGCAGTAACACTGATGCGGTGGCGGTGTGTTAGTGTGTGTTGTGCTGGTCTGAGTGGATCAGACACAGCAGTGCTGCTGGAGTTTTTAAACACCTCCGTGTCACTGCTGGACTGAGAATAGTCCACCAACCAAAAATATCCGCCAACAGCATCTTGGGGGCAGCGTCCTGTGACCACTGATTAAAGGACTAAAAGGATGACCAACACAAACTGTGCAGCAGCAGATGAGCTATCGTCTCTGACTTTACATCTACAAGGTGGACCGACAAGGTAGGAGTGTCTAATAGAGTGGACAGTGAGTGGACACAGTGTTTAAAAACTCTAGCAGCACTGCTGTGTCTGATCCACTCGTACCAGCACAACACACACCAACACACCACCACCACGTCAGTGTTACTGCAGTGCTGAGAACGATCCACCACCCAAACAGTACCTGCTCTGTGAGGGTCCATTGGGGTCCTGATCACTGAAGAACAGGGTAAAAGGGGGCTAACAAAGTATGCAGAGAAACAGATGGACTACAGTCTGTAACTGTAGAACTACAAAGTGCACCTATATAGTAAGTGGAGCTGATAAAATGGACAATGAGTGTAGAAACAAGGTTTCATCTGTGTAAATTATAATGAACACCATAGACCACTACTGAATGTACACCAAAGTGCACTGACTGTAAATAAGAGCAGTTGTGGTGTTGTGTGTGCTGATATAATGGAGATTCCTTTTCAGGCCCTGTCTTTGTCTTCAGCACTTTGACTGCCTGCAGGCTTTGTTGTTTTCCTTGCACGAAAAGGAAAGGGAGGAGGCTGCGTTCCAGTGCGCTTAGTGCTTGTACTTTCTGAGATTTTCCTGCCCTGACTGTTCATATCTGTCTTTATCAACAACCCCTAGCTGCCATTAGTGTGAACACACCTGCGCTCTGAATGAACCTGCATGCACACATTTTATCAGGTTAGCCACTACTGCCCACATTGAATGATGACCGTGGATGACCATTTAAGGGAAGAAAGGGTTGTAAAACTGCCATCTCCCCTCTACATCCCCTTTGGATTAATGTGATGAAGATTATTCTACCAAAAGTCAGAGTTGAAAAGACTTAACTGACATGAACAGTCGGTTCATCTTGAACAGACTGAAAGAAGTTTAATTGCAGAAAATGTACTTTGGTAGTGACAATTCTTAATGTTCCACACTGAATTTCAGACTCTGGCACACCTTTACTTCAAAACAGTGTGATCAAACTGCTCACCATTGGGCTATGAGGGGCAGGGATGTAGTCTTACTTCCTGCTCTGAAATGCAGGGGTGTGGCTAAAATAAGGCTCTGCCTGCAGACTAAACTCCGACCTGACATGAAAATGTGGAACAACATTTTTTGAATACAGTTTTTTGACAAATCTAAAACTTTCAACTTCACTTAAAATAAATCAAAAAGATCTTTTTAATAACAACATAGAAAAAATGCCCCAAAAATGTAAGAATTAGTTTGATATGTGCAAAAAGAAACACTTGTTTCTACGGCTAACAAAGTATGCAGAGAAACAGAACTACAAAGTGCACCTATATAGTAAGTGGAGCTGATAAAATGGACAGTGAGCAGAGAAACAAGGAGGTGGTCATAATGTTATGCCTGATCGGTGTATTTGGCCCATTACTATCTCAATGAATGCCTTGGATTTAAATAGATTATATTATATTACATATTATAATTCTTGTAAATATCTAAGATATGAATATTTAATAGTTTTTATTTATTTATTTACTTTTTACTATGGGACCTCAGTTTGAACTAATCCAGTACAATGGTCAATATACCCTGATATTATCATAGTATAATATAGTATAATCCTATGATATAACCTAGTATGTCTATTTAAAATGTTTTCATTAGTAGAGGCGCTATACTGGTTCATCTGGTTGAAATTCTAAAGTATGAGTTTTGTCATAACCAGTTTACTGGTAGTCCACAAACAAGTGCAGTTAACCCAATGTGCACACAGTTCAAAGGATGCTAACGCTATCCTGTTTAGCTGAATGGAGGAGTCAGCACAAAACACAGCTGTCCTGGCTGCCACTTCAACCCTGTGATGCAAACATGTCTGTAGTGTAAGTGAGGCTTATGAACTGGTGGTGGATTATAGACTCAGCGGTGCCCCCTGTCTGTGCTGGCAGGTTGAACAGGGAGGCCAAACAGACACTGGAACTGGACTGGTCAGATAAACACGAGGCCTACAGTCTGGATGACCATTGCGGCCGCTATAGCAACAGGAGCACGGACACACAGCACTACCCAGGCTCAGCTAAAGTGCACGATCAGTGAGTTCTTCATATACATATACATATACAAAGCCTTAGATGCTGTTTTGGTATTAGCAAAGTAAGCTTGTAAAATTGTTAATATGCATCTCTGTTTCTTCCATTTTGGTGGTTAAATACATGTTAAACCAAAGGATAGTCCCTATAAACTTCAGGAATTTCTAGGATCAATTGTTCAAATGTAATGGCTTTTCAGAGTTCAGGCCCATTTCTGCAACTAAAATGAGTCATTTCCACTTTCAAAGGCCTCCATATCTCAGAAACTAGTGAAGTCTAACATTTTGCGAGATGTGTATTTGGTACAATGATTTTTTCTGAAAGTATTAAGCAAATCTGAAAAGGTCTGAGATTCTTCTGTGATTTCACATGGATTGACCCTTTATTAGCGTAAATGGTCAACTGCATTACCACCAAAGCAATTGACCTAGCCATCCTCCACCCACAAATATCTTATTTTCTTACAACTGTCGGTAGATAGACAAGCTTTATGCAGCATTGAGGAACATCCCATTTCAGCTTGAAGTTCATCAGGATTCTCACTGACACTTATTCTATGTGGAATAGCAGTGCTTTGTACTGTTACGCAATGCGAAACGATGCTACATGGTGCGCCCTGTCCGGTGTGCGGTGGCCTTTCACACACATATAAAATAAATACCATCTGAAATTAATAACACTTTACATGTTGAAACTTTCATACAACTAGTTGCATGTTGTGAGTTTCCTGCAACACAATTTTCATGCAACTTGACAGTTCCACAAAGCTGCTCAATAATAATTAAAGTTGCATGCAATGCATTCGTTACTCCACTAATTAGGCAAATTAGCCAGCTGTCATTCCCATTCTTTTTCCCTATAACTACATATCTGTCATTTATCAGTCTAGGGTTCTTTACTAGATATTTGAGATTTATAGCCTGTTTCTCACTCATTCTGTCCTCGAAAACGTTTACAAGTATGTCATTCAATGTGATATGTTATTGGTTGCTCCATGAAACTTGTTACATGAACGTGAGACGCTTGCAGCTGTTGTGGCTGAGTTTCAAGTGAGTTGCAGGACACTTTCCGTTATGCATCATAATGCAAGTACAATTTACTTTCATGCAAGTTTCAAGCAAGTAAAGTTGCATAGAAGTTTCACTAAAGTTGCACACCACAATTTCTCATTAGGATAAATGCCAGCATCTTGTGAAGCTTGTCCAACCTAGCAACAGTTGCTATGAAAGAACACATTTGTAGATGGAGCTTAGAGAGGACAGGTAACATATGCAATAAGAGGACCAGCTTGTCTGTCTGTCTGTCTGTCTGGAGGCTGTGTGGTGAGGAAGCGTGGCTGAAGTTCACTGAGGTGAACCTGGCTGAGGCGGAGCGTCAGTGTGAAAGCAGCGCGTCTCTGCGTTCTCTGTGTGAGCGAGTGCTGCAGGAGACGGCTGAGGACCTGCAGGCTCAGAGCGCTGCGGTGGATCAGAGCTTCAGCCAGCGCTGCCTGGAGCTCAGCCAGGCCAAGAACCAGCTGGAGCTGCAGCTATCACAGGTACCCACAGAACATCAGCTAGAACCGCCTGGAGCACAGCTGAACAAAACAACAGCTGGTACGCAGACCCAGATGCATTATGTGTTACTATACTTCTGAGACCTTGTGCTGACTTGTCGCCTCCCTCTGGCACAAATGGAAACTGCACTAGATATGCTGAATTGCTAACAAAACAACCTTAACCTTCAGATGTTTGGGGGAAAATTATAGAAATGATAGACAAACTAGCACAATATTAAATTATAAGAACTGTATAATGTGTTTAAACCATTTTCAGAATATATATCTATAGGCAAAAGTTGCACCACAAGGGCTCTTGTATAGGACTGGAGGTCCCAGGTGTTAAATACTGTAAATACTGTCATTTATATAGCTTTTGATTCCTTTATAAACCTTTTGTTTTATTGGTGTTAACACATCAAAACATATTAAAAGTTCAGTAAAATTGAACAGGTACAAATATAAACACTCACACAAGCACTCAGATATGCCTGTACGTCTGTGTTGTTTGTAATGTGTATATATGCTGCTCATCACATTCTGTGTAGAATGTTTATAATGTAGGTTTTTGTGTGTGTATGAGTATTGTTTGTGTGTTTGTGTGTGTGTTTAAGGTGCTGGAGCAGATTGGGGTTCAGGAGCGGAACATCAGTTCTCTGCAGCAGACTATATATGATAAAGAAGCTCCGCTGCGTGTGGCTCAGTCCAGACTGCACTATAGAGCACAGAGACCCAACATGGAGCTCTGCAGAGACCAGCCACAGATAAGGTGCACATATATATACACACACACACACACACACACACACACACACACATACACACACACACACACACACTCATTTTCCTAGTTTGACCCTTTAAATCATCTGTACCAGTGCAGGCTGAAGCCCAGCTGCACCACACTGTATGTTGCTATGATAGGATCGTTGTAGCCAGGAGGAGAACGAAAAAAACATACTGTACTTTTAATGTAAGTCAATGGAACCAGACTTATTTCCAAGTCATTTTGGGCCATTTCTTTTGGTCCAATCATCATGAAAAGTATGCACAATGTAAAGAGCAGCAGGCATTGTCAAACTATGCCAAAAAACGAAAAATAACAAAAATGGAATACGAGGTTTTGTTCTGACAGCAGCGATATATATATGTGTATGAGTCGCTGTCCATAAACCATGTCTCCATTTTTTCTACAGAATTTGTGCTCAGCAGCTGCCCTTTACATTCTGTGAAAATTTCATGATGAATGGACCAGCAGAAATGCTCCAAAATTGCTTGGACTAAAATTTTTTGGGGATTTTCTCATTTAAACTTCAAAATAAAAAACCAAACATTTTAGAATTTTTAAAACTTAAAAACATAGAAAAGTTGTGAAGTACAATGTAGAGGAAATGTTCAGAGCTCTGCACTATTTCTAGGTCACTAATCAAAGCAAATTTGTGAAACTGACCATCTTGAGAACTTTGTACAAAATGGTCAGATTTTTAAAGACTTATCTCTTCCAGTGTAGCTCGTGTTCAGACGACCCTCAGGTGGATTTAACGTACTGAACAGAGGTTTTGCACAAACTCAGTGAATCTGTGCTTACTCGAGTGCCCGCTGTCATTAAAGTAAAAGAGGGACACACTTTACCAAATACTAAAAAATACTGAAATTCATGTTCAACTTTTAAATATTCTGTTTTTCACTCAGACTGTTATGATGATAGTATCATTTGTAATGAAAACTCTGCATTAAATTAGAAAGGAATGTAAAATAGAAGCATTTTCACCAGTCGTCACCGTATGTACATGTTTGTGTGTGTAGTCTGCTGAGTGAAGTGGAGGAGATCTCCGGCAGTGTGAGTCTTCTGCAGCAGCAGTTGTCTGAAGCTCGAGGCTCGCTGGCTCAGCTGGAGGAGAGCAGGCTGATGCTGGAGAAAGACATCAGCTGCAAAACGCATTCGCTGTTCATCGACCGCGATAAGTGCATGAAACACCGCACATGCTACCCCACTGTACTCACCCTGTCTGGATACTGACACACACACACACACACACACACACACACACATACAAATACACAGAGGCTGTGTCTTATCCAGCCTGCTTTTGTTATGCTGTGGTCACTCTGAATGAAACTGTTAAAGTCTGTCTATAGAGAGAGAGATATGACAGATTTTTAACAGCAAAAGTGCATATCCTGTACAGCCCTGTGTAACTCCTCTGAACCTGAAACAAAATAAAACTATCCTGAAATTTACAAATTGTCTCTTCATTTTTTGGAGGAAGCTCCATTTTTACAAACTAAATGCCAGTACAGAGCAGCAAAAACCATCTCAGAAGTTTACCACTTTATATTGAAGTAATGTTATCTTACATGCTTAGATGTTACTGTATATTTGAGTCATATATACAGTCATTAAGCTATCTCGCCTAGCTAGTAGCTAAGGAATTTACAAAGAGAAAGATTTAAGACAAAAACATGGATAATTTAGAGATGAATGGATTTCTGTGCTTTTCTAATCACTCCAGCTGGTTTCCTGATACGTTTGATCTGCAAGGAGAGACTGTCAAAAGAGGAAAAAGTCACGAGGCTGTAGTCAGCTTCTCATTCGTCAGCTTCTTGTTCTAATTGCCCCGTAGCAGCTTAAAAGGTGCAGCAGTTACATTCGGGTGTACATTCTGGCGAACGAGAAGCGACTTCAGCCTCGTAAAAACTAAATGCTGAGAGACATTTTACAAGAAACTGTTCTACTTTTGAGGAAAAGTTTCCTGCTGGAGATGTGAGAAAAGTGACTATAGCTGAGCTAAAGCTTAAAGCAGAGCAAAGTAAGTCTGTGTTTTGCTTTATATTATGTTTTTTATCCTATACTAGCACATCAGCACATACTGAGATATATTTACAGCCAAGATGGTAAACTGGACATAAAATATTGTGGCTCCCAAGGTGGTTGGATTTTTATTCAAAGGACAAAATGGCTCTTCTTAACATTTGGGTTGCCGACCCCTGACCTTAACCCAACCCCTCTCAGCCACTGAGAGAGCAAATATATTTTCATTCTCATTCTTTATATCTGAAGTACTTTAGTAACAAATTACAGTATGATTGACAATACATTTATTTTTGTCTCTTTTGGCCTCTCAAAACGAAAGTTTTGGGGCATCTATTATGAACCTGAGAAGCTTTTAAAGCTTGAGCGCCTGATCCTGAGACTAATGCACTGTCTACAGCTCACCACTAGAGAGCAGCAGAAGACTAGAGTGAACACAGAGTGAGTGTTCACAGTCCTATGCAAAAGTTTGGGCACCAGAGGTCAAATTGAGTTTTTTGTTGATTTTCTAAGTGTAAGTTAACACAGTTTAGCACACTTTAATACACAATTACTATTTAATTTGCTGAATTTAACGTATTGTGAAAGAACTAACAAAATGTGGTCTGTGCAAAAGTAATGACACATCTTGTGGATTGTCTTATTATTCATAATATTGTAAACTTAGAAAACAAATAGAAATTGTACAGTAAACTGAGAAGTGTGGTCTCTGTAAAAGACGTGTTAACTCATTTTCACATAGAAATTCATCTAAACATGTCATTTGACCAGGTGTGTTCAAACTTTTCTGTTTTGAGTGTATATTATTCCTGTGGATTAATGTACACATGTGAATCAGGTAAGGTAACGTCATGCTAAAGTTGTATGCCTGTAAAAGCAGCAGGAGCACAGCTGGTAATGATGCCACACGAGGTCTTGCTGGACCAGAGGGCTGCTGGTTCAAATCTCAGTTTGTACCGAATGACACTGACACAGTGCCAGAGGCGTGCAGGCTAATGCATTAGCTCTTCTCCTGACACCTGCTACCGCGTCCTTCAGCAGAACGCTCGACTCCTTCGGCTCTGCTGCTGCCTGGAAGACTAACCAGATCTTATGCAACACCACGTAAGTGACCACCCCTCCAACCCACACTGCTTCTGAATCAGATCTGTTCCATAAGGCCTTCAGGAGGGAATAATAAATCTCATGTGGGTAATTTCATCTCCAAGGCAACGCTTCACAGGCTGGTCCGCACTTGGGAAAACTGTAACTGTAGACGATTTCAAAAGATGTCATTTGATACACAAAGTGCCCAAACTTTGACTGTGTATAAGTATATCGCTGCTGTCGGGACAAAACCTTGTTTTTCAGTTTTTGATATAATTTGAGAGTGCCTTCTGTCCTTTACATTGTGTGTAAATTTCGTGATGAATGGACCAAAAGAAATGGCCAAAAACTTACTTGGTAAAAATTCTGGTTCCATTGACTTACATTAAAAGTAAATAAGGTTTTTTCTTCTCCTGTAAAGTTACCATTTTGGAGATAGGAGGTTTTGTTCCAACAGTGATTGGTATATATATACATATGTATATATGTGTGTGTGTGTGTGTGTGTGTGTGTGTGTGTGTGTGTGTGTGTGTGTATATATATATATATATATATATATATATATATATATATATATATATATATATATATATATATATACACCATAGTTTTTGTGATGTCATGAAAACCAACAGATTTGCATAAAGTCAACAGCAGAAGTTTGAACAATAATTAACATCCTGTTTAAAGTTAAAAAGAGAAATCTTCTAAAAAAGATTTTTTGACATTTGTTTTGGTGCATAAACCCACAGCAAAGCAAAAAAAGGGACTTCTGGGAATAAAACTAAACTACAACACAAAAATGTAGAAGATTGTTTGAGAGTGAGTGAAGGTGAATTTACTTTCTGAGCACTAGGGGGCAGTACACTCATTGGGGCCGCACATGCTGGAGGAGATCGTGGTTCCAGCTTTAGCTGTGAAGTTTCCGTCTCAACCAGGCTCAGCGATGGTGTGATTTCCTAATGAACTGAATGGGGCGGGTTGTTTTGTTGGCTGCAGTAAAATCTCAGACTCTCTTGAGGTTTGTGTTGGAAACGCTGATTTGGTGTAAAGCTCTGATGGCTGTGTTCCTGTGCAACACACACACATTTAGGTAATTGCCTCCAGATGTTCCGACAAAGAGAGAATTAGGCCTCAAGGGACAGAAAGAGTGAGAGTATTTGTCACATATTGCCAGAAGGAGGGAAATCTTTGTGTATGCATGTGTTTCAGAGAGGAATGGATCTCCAGTGGTCCTCAGGGCCTCTTTTGTAGGCCTTCAGAGAAGGAGTTATGATTTCTAGGAGCTAAAAAATACATGTCTGCAAGTATTGCAGCAATACTGTTATACTCTTGTGTTAGTTAGATACATAGATATTCATACATAGATGCCTTGTTGTCTGTTGTTCATCAATCTGAGGCAATACATCTGCATGTGCGCCATGTTGGAGCGGTCAAGATCCGCATGTAAACAAATTGCGTTTTCACGATTAAATCGGCTACAACAAACCGATTTTCAACAAATATGCTTTGTTATAATCCTCAGACATTTCTGCATGTCAGCAACACTGAAATTAATAACTGATCATCACATTGATTTATCAGTCTACTCAGGCTTTAGCAGAGCTCAGTAACACTGAGATTAATAACCAATCATCACATTGATTTATCAGTCTACTCAGGCTTTAGCAGAGCTCAGTAACACTGAGATTAATAACTGATCATCATATTGATTTATCAGTCTACTCAGGCTTTAGCAGAGCTCAGTAACGCTGAGATTAATAACTGATCACATTGATTTATCAGTCTACTCAGGCTTTAGCGGAGCTCAGTAACACTGAGATTAATAACTGATCATATTGATTTATCAGTCTACTCAGGCTTTAGCAGGAACTTTACAGCATGTTTACTATATGCCATGTGCTGATTTTACAATAGTTAATAAACAAACATTGATTTATTTTTATTTAGTGGGTGAATACTCTAAATTATTCTCCTAGAAATGTAAAAGGTAACTGTATTCTGAATACTGCCTTTACAAAGTGTAACTTAAACTAAACACAGATACTTCATTTATGTAGTCTACATTCGTATTCCCAATACTTGTTTTCCGAATACATCCCGACCCTGAGTAATAACATCTCCATTATTCTCCATTATTCCAGATGCAGTCACATTTCTTGGCTTAGTAACTGAGTGTTAATGTTAGTTATTTTTGGCTAGTTAGCATGTAGCTAAATTGAACAGCTATGAGCAGAGATTTTGCCACTGTAAAGTCCTGTAAGTTAGTCAGGAAACCCTTTGGAAGGAAAAACATTCCGTTTTAGGGTGGTGTTGTTTACCACTCAAATGTTTAACGTTTTCTCAGGCGTCAAGATAGCTGCTACTGTTTTAGCTATGCTAATGTACTTTTCCCATGTTTATCAATATAGTGTGTCATACACACAATGCCAGAACCCACATAAGCAAGTCTAGAAACTACTGAACAACTCAGCACAGTCTGAGGAAAGTGTGTGGTCATGAATACCTACAGTTACCATGATGCTAAATGCTAGTTTGCTTCTATAACTTGTTAGCTACGTTAGCCTTGTAGCTCCAGTACAAAACTAAAGAAGCGGATTTCAGCTCTATATTTGGGGTATGGGCTGGGCTGAGAGGGGCTGATTACAATTCATTTTTAGCTGAACCTTTCTTTTAAATACTCCAGTGGTCAGTCTAGACCTTTTTTCAATGCCTTTTTTGTCCGTGTAAAAGAGTGTGAGAGAGAAAGAGAGGGAAGAGAAGGAGAGATGTTCGTCAGTGGTTTCATTATCAGTGACATTTCCGATGTTCTGGCTCGGCGCCCACTCAGACTGCAAAGAGAACACGCGGGAATCAGATCATTAACGTGGGCAGAAATTACCGCGTGTGATTGACAGACGGTATTGAAAAGGATGCAGCAGTTAAGAATTGAGTGTGGGGTCTATACTGAGAGAGAGAGAGAGAGACAGCAAAAAATGCTAGCATTAAAGGAGGACATTCCACTGTCTGGAAAATTCAGTCATTGGGATGCAAACAGAGTCATTCAGAGTGGTTTGGTGTGAAATGGTTCACTGTAGAGAAACTCACAGACTCAGATGTCTTTACGGAGGTGGTGATAGCAACCAGGGGTCACAGTGT